TTTATTCGCCAGATATTTTTGAAAATCACAAAAATTCTGGATTCTCCACCATTTTGTTTCTTTCAATTATTAGATTTTCAAATGTTCCATTGTGTACTACAGTTCTTTATCTTTGAAATAGCTCTAAGAAATCCAAATTCAATTGAATTTTCATGAAGCCTGAAGCAAAATAATAATAATCGTTTATACGAGATTCGCACATTCACTCCATAACAAATTGCAAAGAAATGAGTGTATCTACTGGACTATTTGTTCGATTTCGATGTTCGAGTACTCATTCTCTTCAGAAATGTATAGCCTGAGATTACATCGGTACAGGTTGGTAAAAATCTGATTTTCTTTTTCTCCAGCGGTTTTTGTAAATGACAATACTTTGATAGAATCCGCCATTTTGTTTTTGATCATTATGAAATTTTCAAATATTCCACTGTATGCTATAGCCCTTCAGCTATGAAACGACGCCAAGAAATTCGAATTCGGTTGAGAAATAATGAAATCACGAGGAAAATAAAAACTTCCGGTTTTTTTGTGACCACCCGATACATCAAAATTTGGAGTCAAATAGAATTTTTAGTTTCCTCAAAAACTAAGCTAGATACAAAAATCACACGAAGGATAAAAAAGTTATTATTTCAATAGTTCAATCTAATAAAAATATGAAACTCAGAAAAACCGATGGTGTACAATGACATTCACCATATGAATATCGATAAATTTACTCACTGTGACGCAACTGGAAATATTATTGCGAATCTAATTGCACTAGAAGAAGCTTCATATTACTATTGACAAAACCACAACGTTTTATTGGAATTGATGAAAAGACAATTGAGAAAAGAATAGAAAAGAGATTTTTCATGGAAATATTAATATCTCGAAAACGAAGAAAGTTAGAACACATGTTTATATGAACTTCATTTCCTAAAATATCACAAGGAATCACCCTTCGAATTTTTTCGGTGTACAACCTTGAAGATTTTGAAGTTTGAATTGTATTCGATGCGATTATTTTTTGAGTAGTTCTGAACGAACGTCAAAATTTGACGACGCGCTTTTTTGTATATGTAACAATATGAATTGGTTAATATATGGAATTGGAAATAATTCTAAATTTCTGATTGGTGGAACTACTATATGTATATATCTATCAATATTCGAAATTATACAAGGTATAGCTTATTAGCTCAATTGAACGTTTTGATTATAGTTTTAAATCATACGAAGAAAATAATCAAAGATACTATGTTAAGTGTGTGAAAAACGGTTTACTTCACTCCTCAAAATGGTGACCTCAACATTGGTTTCATTGATTTTTGGTTGGCCTAGAGAAATTTTCCTGTAGAAGTTACAATAACGATGAAACTTCGTATCTAAGTTTTCTAGGTATTGGATGTTTTCCTCCATTGAATGGCTACTTCACCGGTTACGGTTATATCAACTCCTTAGATTTTGACGCAGAGTGAGTCGAAAAATCAAAAATATCAGAATTTGCCATGTGAGATTATACGTTCAAATTTTTTATGGAGGTTTATTTCAGCGATGCCTGAATCGAATAGCGGTATATAGGTACATATAGTCATTGTTTCGAAAAAAATTTCCTAATAGTCGTTCATGAAATTTTGACCCCTTCAAAAAACAAAAATCTTAATATTTCAAATTTCTTCCACATTTTTGGATACTGAGTAACATCGAGTAATGTATTATGGAATTTTTGTTTCTGAAAATCGAAAGGTGTTGCGGGTTGAAATCGCACACTCTGTATATGTAGGTATATACCTATAATCATTGTGTTTTAAAATTGTTTATCTCAACTTTCAGCTTTTTTATCATTGTAAAAATCAAATTTCGTATATACAATATAGAGGCTATTAACTATAGGTAGTGGGTAGAACTAACTGCCTATACATCTACCTACCTCGATATTCATCAATAAGCGTCGTAAAAAGCGTTGTTACGATTCGATCACCGCGTATATTTCTCATTTCCGATGTAGATAAGTATAGCTTTAATAATTACCAGACACTATCGCTACATAGGACAGCCTGTATAATTCATAGGTATATTTTCTCTTTAGTTATTGCTCATTCTCTGTTTTGTTTTTTCTATGCTATACTGAATGTTGTATGAGATCGTTACATAGGCATAAGGCATTACAGATGTAATTGTAAACTTAGGACTTGTCCTGTATTACATCTCTTCATAAATAAATAAATAAATAAATAAATATTAAGAGGGCTGAATACAGTCTTAATAATACATTATTGTATTATAATACATATATATGTATTATTATTATACTGTATTATTATACACTTATATACTAGCTGATCCGGCAAACGGCAAATTGATGGAAAGGATAATATGATGGTTCCTAGCCCATTTTAAGAAGAAAAATGCATATGAACATATGCCCTCTAAAGAAACTTGTAAACCCACATTCATAAAATATAAAATAATGTCTTTCTACAGCGTGTTTATTTATCACTGTCTTCTGTATGTGAGAAATAACATCAATACCTTCCAACTGAATTCTTCAAATCATTACTATGACACCAGAAACTCAGATCTCCTGTACGCATTCCCAAACACAAAACAACAAAAATAGAAAATAGCTTTAGATAATATATGGGAATGAAATTATACAATCATCTTCCAACATTAATTAAAAATATAATTTCCAATTCTTCTTTTAAACGAACTATAAAAAATGTAATGGTTACCAAATGTTATTATAGTATAGATGAATATCTGCAGGATGACTTGTAGTAGCCATTTTAGCCATTGTTGCCATTTGTTTTAATTTTTACTGACAATAATTGTATTCTGTGTATTTCATCATGTATTTCATTTTTAAACCATTTTGTAAGCGCTTGACTTGTCCTATACATTTTGTAATGTCTCAAAGGATAAAATAAATATTATTGTTATTATTATTATTATTATATAATCCTCTTAATAATTTGCGAACTACAGGGTGCTACGATTTTAAGAAAAGAATCGTTTTCTTATCATAACTTCAATACTGTTCTAGATATTTTCATGAAGTTTAACATGCATCTACTATGCAACAATAGGATTTTTTTCCGTCCGACAAACAGTTTTCGCGAAAAAATAAATAAAAACCACTTTCATGCATTCGTGGTATAACGAGATTATTTGAAACTTGTAGGATACTGCCCTATTTTGTATTCATAAACGAGACAGTTTCTTACATTATGAAAGTTTCTTAAATCAATAGAGAGAAAATACAATTTCAACACCCTATAGCTCGAAATCGAAATGAGCTGGGGAACCATATCCTGAATTTTCAGCCATCCAGTTACACCCTGTATACGTATATTTGAAGTAAAAAATGTTCAGTTACATATTCATCAACACAGTTTTGCTACTTTATGCACGACCCTGCGTAAAGTAGCACTTTACCGCTTGATTTTGCGGGCGTGAAGTGGCAATAATTTACAGCCCGCGGACTACTACTACCTACTTTTAATTTATTATTGGCTCCCCAGCAAACACAATTACATCACAGAGATATCGCAGCGATATGTAACAATTGTGACCTGCGATGTCAGAGGGATTTTATTTTGTCCCACTCAAGTTTCATCCATGCGACGTTACTGCGCATAAGTTCTCTGCGATATGAAAATTAACGATATATTTTATGCAATGCAATTGCGATATGTTATTTGTGATGGAAAAGCGATGTGCATTTGCGATAAAACTACGATGTCATGCGAGATGACATCGCAGTAAATAAAACAAAAAAAGTTTCCCCAAACATAATGATGGTGTGAAAATATAGGTACACCAGTACATACCACTGACTTCTGATGACATCTAATATTCATATAGGCGTTTGTTATTGTTATACTGGTTGGTGGTCCCCTCGGGTCTCCTGCCCATTTCAATCGTCTTTTGAGCGGCAATAATGTATATCCTTATATTGGTACCTATAAGAATCCCTATCAGAATGAGATATCTCTGTCACTCAATCAAATGTATCAAATATTATAAAGTGTGTGTCGGCGAGATATAAGCAAAACATGAATAGTTTGATAGCAATGTAACGAATATTTGCTTCACTTTGTTGAGTAACGTATATTCATGTACCTATTCTTTTTCACTAAACAATAAGAATCTAAATATTTTTTTTTTAATTTCACGTATAGGTATATATGAGTTTGCTTGTATGCAAGGTAGCGATGCAACATCCGTGATATCACATTGTTGCCGCACGTCATCATGCATGACTTCTTACAGAAGTCATGTAGCAGATGTTTGCTTCTGTAAATCGCAGCGATGGAACCATGTTATATCGCAGTGTTGCCTCATCGCACCATCTCAGAGATGTCATTTCGCAGATGTGCTTATTGCTTCTGTATATATATATATATATATATATCTCATCAGCGATATAACATATTCGTTAATATCGCATTGTTGCTTCATCGCGACATGTCAAAGAGATATGTCATGTCGCATTGTATACAGTGTGTCCCACTATATATATATGTGTTGTATCTCATATCACAGATTAGCAAACCTTACTCATATGAACATGGCAGCGATGGAACGTTTGTGATATCGCACTGTTACCTGAACGCGACATCTCACATATTATGTCATGACACTGATGATGTGTTGGCTCGGTCCAGAGATCAGTCACCATGCATACTCTTTTATAGTGTCCTTCTACAATTTTCGTTCCATTTGGAAATAACGCGATTCATTCGAGTGCGACGTTAACATGCGATTTAATATTTGATTGCAATGGATGTCAATGACGTCATAACACTAGATAACATTCAAAATTGTACATGTTAGGACCACTGAACTATAGGACACCCTATATATCCAAGAAATCCAAGTTTTATAACCTTGAGTTATGTAAGTCCATAATACAGATTAACAAACCTTCCATAGTAGCCACTTTCTTTTGCTATCGAAAAAAGACTTATCGAAATGGGAAGAAGGAAAAGTTGGGTTATGTTAATTGTTTTGATTTTTCCTCGGATTTTTCAAATCAAAAGTCAAATTACTGTTAGTGAAATATTGAAATAATTCAGTGATTTTGTAAACATTTCATATCAACCGGGTTAATGACTAATCTCTTGCCAGAATTTTGAAATAACTACATACTTTTGCTGTGAAATCGCCCAGCAGGAAACCATCAGATGCGGGCTCACCGTTAGCTAACCTCTTTTTTGCACAGCCAAATTTATTAACCGATAGGCGACAATAATATATAAGTAATGGATGAAGATTAGTTCACTCTCATTTTCCGACTGGAAATCATGGAGGTGATATCGAATAGTCTGTTTGTTTTGTTCGTGTGCAGCTTCCTGTCCCTTTCTCAACAGTGTACCAATCCTGGATATCCCTTTGAAAATCACCTCTCTTCAAAAACGCCATACAGATTCGTGTCAAATCAGAGCTTTGATAGAATTTTATATGAAGGTATGTCTTGTTTCAACTTAAATACTCAACCTATATCTAAAATGTTCCTTGTGTTGTCCAGGATGCATTCCTCAGAAAATCTGGATGCTAGTGAGACATGGGACAAGATATCCAGAATATGGATTCATAGAGAAAATGACTATTAGATTACCAGAAATAAAAGATCTGATTCTACAAAATAAAGACTTGCCCAATGGTAAGTATTCAAGAATCATTAAGATTTATATGTTGTAATTTATATTTGCAGATAGGGTGACCAGATTTTGAAAATGAAAGAAGAGTACATTTAGTATTAAGGCGGATTTAGCAGACGCACAAACACAATTTATTTCATAACTGTAATTTTAATGTATAATTCATAAAAGTTAAACACTGTAGTCCATATGAGATGATTTATCCAACTCAAAAGTTCTAGTGCACAGTGCATAACATCTCATAATACATAACCCTGAAGTTCACAATTTTTAACTTTTATGCATTACACATTAAAGTTACACATTGTGCTTGTGCATTCGCTAAATCCTGTTATAATAAGTGCAAACATTGCCAGGGGTATTTTTTTTTAATTACCCAAGGTCAAATGCCTTTAAATTGGAACTTGGATTGTGTCCTACCCTTGAAACAACTGCTTATTTTTACTTGATTTTTACCAATATCATTCAAATAAAAAATTATATTTTTTAATTTTAGTAACCAAACAGGTACAAATCAGGTACAATTTCTCATATGATATGGTGAATTCATGTCTTAACTTAAGAATGAGGGATGATTATTGGTTGATATCAGATAACATTTCCTCTAACATTTCTCAATCCACCAATTGCCTTCTCTAATTCTTGAGTTATGACTAAGTTTAGTTATCTCTGAATTCACCATATTGAAAGAACCTCAGTTTACCAGTGATGAAACAAATATGTATCTTTCTTTCCTGATTTTTTTCTGTTTGTTCATATTCCTTATTTTCCTAACATATCAAATTTTGACTATAAACCATCTTAATGAGACTTCAAAAAAGACACATTCACCTCCCAAATGAAGAAAGATAGACTTCCAGAATAGCATTCTTTAGAAAGAGTACTTGTACTATAAAAAAAGTAAGTCTGGTCACCCTATTTTCAGATATCACTGAAAAAACAAAAAAAAATATTCCTCTTTACCTAGAATTTCTCATGTAATCAATACAGACTAGATTTCTGTATACAACTAATTTTCCATATTTTCACTTTGCTACCCGTTGAGGTACCAGCATTATATTTGCATAATAGCATAATTTCATATTTCATAAATCCTAGCATAAATCATGAATTTATTATACAGGTACCTCTTAATATTTCCAAATATTCTTATTCACATTCCAAAATGAGCTGTTTATTTCAGTTAATTTGGAAGAACAGGAATTAGATAAGTAAAATGGGGAGAAAAACATTGTGTTTCTGAAATTCCATCAAGTTGAAATGAGATCTCTGAAAATATGTTGAATTTCTTGAAAAGGATTCTTTGGAATTGAAATTTGTGTTGAATTTGAAGTACAAAGTGCACTTCAGTCTTGTATTTTTAATTCACAGTTCTACTCATGTATATGCTTCCTTCAAAATCACAATTTTATAATTTGTATGGAATCATACAGGGTGTTCATTTCAGGACTTCCCACCCTAATTTTCTCGAAATGTGTGTATGTTTTCGAAAAATCCCGAGACACGTCAACTACATTTTCGAGGGGGACATGGTTCTAAAATATTTTCAGCCCCGCGGCGTTGCCGCTTCTAACGAAAAGAAGCTTTGTTATTTCAAATGGAACACCCTGTATTTTATTGCATTTTTAGATTCTCCCTGAAAAGCTGATTTCATCAATGTATCACACTTGGGGTCTAGCAGGAATGATTACAGAGATATAGGGTGTTCAAAATCGAGATTTTACAACTTTAGGATTTTTTTGAGTCGAAACTATTCATTATTGGTCAAAACGGCTTTTATGTCCCTATCTCAACTTTTGATTTACTATCTACTGACATTTATTTGAAACAAATACAGGGTGGTTCAAGATTCAGACTTTTGATCACCCTGTATTTGTTTCAAATAAATGTCAGTAGATAGTGAATCAAAAGTTGAGATAGGGACATGAAAGCCGTTTTGACCAATAATGAATAGTTTCGACCCAAAAAAATCCTAAAGTTGTAAAATCTCGATTTTGAACACCCTATATCTCTGTAATCATTCCTGCTAGACCCCAAGTGTGATACATTGATGAAATCAGCTTTTCAGGGAGAATCTAAAAATGCAATAAAATACAGGGTGTTCCATTTGAAATAACAAAGTTGTTGCTTCTTTTCGTTAGAAGCGGCTACGCCGCGGGGCTGAAAATATTTTAGAACCATGTCCCCCTCGAAAATGTAGTTGACGTGTCTCGGGATTTTTCAAAAACATACACACATTTCGAGAAAATTAGGGTGGGAAGTCCTGAAATGAACACCCTGTATATCCTATCTTTATTATGTTTAATTGTCTTATAATGTTGTTTCAATCTTTTGATTCTTTTCAGAATATGTAAAAAGTAGAGATGTGGATGTGTTCCAAAAATGGAAACCATATGTTCAACTTGCAGACAAAAAAAAGTTGGTTCATGAAGGTGAAGAGGAAATGCTACTATTGGCGGAGAGAATGCAGAGTAGATTTCCTGAACTGTTTGATAGTGTTTACAGCAATACTTCTTACAAGGTAAGTCAAAATGTTGAAATTGAATAGTTTAGGATTATTCCAAGGGTTATTGAACATTCATCAAATTCTATCAACATTCAGAAGTGTCTGATGAATTGAAATTGAGCCAGCTACCTAGATTGTTATTAGTGTGATTATGCTTCTGGTATTTTCATATACAGGGTATGTCACAAAGAGCTTATACTATCTGTATATCTAGAATCAGTTCAAAGAAATTCATGAAATTTTGCATGCTTATATTTTAGAGCTCTCTTCATTTAAAATATTTCCGACAATGCAGTGTTGCCGCTTCTACTAGAAAGTAGTAGCAACATGGATATTTCAAATAGAACACCCTGTATTTTATTGCATTTTTATATTCTCCTTGAAAAGCTGATTTCATCGATATATCACACTTGGGGTCAGTTGAAAATGATTACAGAGATATAGGGTGTTCAAAATTGAGATTTTTCAACTTAAGGATTTCTTTGTGTGGAAACTATTCACTATCGGTCAAAAAGGCTCACATGTCCCTATCTCAACTTTTGATTCTCTATTTACTGATATTCAATCGGAACAGATACAGGGTGGTTCAAGATTCAGAATTTTGATCACCCTATATCTGTTCTGATTAAATATTAGTAAATAATAAATCAAAAGTTGAGATGAGGACATGTGAACCGTTTTGGCCGATAATGAATAGTTTCAACAGGAACAATTCCTGAAGTTGAGAAATCTCGAATTTGAACACCCTATATGTCTGTAATCATTTCCGATAGACCCCAAGTGTGATAAATCGATGAAATCAGCTCTTCAGCAAGAATCTAAAAATGCAATAAAATACAGGGCATTCTGTTCAAGATAACAAAGTTGTTGCAAAGTGGCAACACTGCAGTGCTGAAAATATTTTAAATGAAGACGACAATATATCATGGGTGCTAAGTGGTACTATACTAGTAGAATTCATGCCACATACAATAATATGTATTTTAAATTCGTCAAAAAAATATTGTTTAAATAGAAATCAGCACATTTAAAAAACAGCAAATTTTTTTAAATCTTTTGGAATGCATAAAAGGGAATCCCTATTTCTTTGTTTGGTGCTAGCAGGAATGTTGGGAAGATTTCCTGGCTAATTATCATTGACAAGCAAGTTTTTTTTTCCTTCAAATAGACCGTCAGTTAAGATGGAGACATGTGAGCTGTTCTGACCAATAATTAATAGTTTTATCACAAAAAAATCCAAAAGTTGAAAAATCTCGATTTTGAACACCCTGTATCTCTAATCATTCCCGCTACATCCCAAGTGTAATGTATTGATGGAATCAGCTCACAAAGAAGAATCCGAAAATGCAATAAAATACAGGGTTTCCTATAATGAAAAGTAGAACTTTGATATGCCACGCATATTTGAGTCACCCTGTATACGCAAAGTAATTTAGAAATATGCTGCTCATGGGCCTAGACCATCACAACCATTTTTATTCATCAATCTCAAACACCAATGCAGTTATCTCACTTTCCCATTTCAATGACTCCCCCTGTATAAAATCAATAGAAAGAAGATCATTCAAAGGCAATCAAACTCTGTTACTTTTGAGTCTGTCTGTCTTGAATTTTTTGGTAGTATAACCAGTCACCCGGTATCTCCTAGTAAAAGCACATTTCCATTTGCCTTCAATGCTTGTTGGCCTTGGCTTAACACCTCGGCCGGGAGTGTATTCGCGGTGTTCAAGGTCACTATCTGACGTTGCGATGACGTTAAAAGGGGGGAAAAATACTCCTTACTCCTGGCATAGATTGAAACTGAAAGTCAGACATGTTTTCACTCAGTTTTAACGTATTCGCAACGTTGAAAACAACAAGTGCGGAAAGTGATTCTTTCCCGCACGCGACTGCCGTTGACGCGAACGACGCGAAGCGGAGTTCGGGCAAGCAGCCGAGTGCGGGAAAGACACTTTCCGCATGAGTTAGGAACAATATTTTTTCTACAAGCGTAGGCAATTGATTGATTTGTTCAATTTGTTATTCATGCAAATAGGAACAACTAAGAAGAGAAATATATTATCTATCTACTAATTATTAGTAATAATAAGGTGTCTGGTCTGTAGGTTTCAGACACTCCTAGTTCAATATTTCTTAATTTTCACAATAAATAGTGCAATTTGATGGATGATTTTGAACATACATACTTAATACTGCATCAAACAAACTTAAACTTTTATATTTCATCACCGAGCACTTATATTTTGCGATCTTATCATATCTTTGTTTTCCCGCATTGGTGCGGGAAAATTTTTCCCGTACTGTTGCGGGAAAATGACACTTTCCAAACTGATTTGCGTGCGGGTATAGGGTGAATCACGCACGCTTGTAGAAAAAAAGAATTTTCAGAATCATTCACTGCATAAAGGGTATCCCTAACAGATTTCAACTCTATTCGCCATAGAAAATAACACGTCGCTCCACCTGACGGCAACAATGTGATCACTTCTGAGCGGTTTGTTTTGAATGATTGACCAATAATCACAAAAGAAAAACAAATGTGAACGAATGTATTAATCATTCCAGAATTACGTCATTTGACAGTTTGCTAAGGGGCAAACATTGTATTTTGTCAAGATTTGTCATATCAAACCAGAATTGGTGGGATCGTTTTCCTTGGAATCCGAGTTGGAACCAGAAAGAATTTCATAATTTTGTTTGGTGAAACTGTTATTATATTGTGGATGTGGCAAGGATGGCCAGGGCTATGCTCATCAAAGGTAACCTAACAGATAGTTTGTGTGACCCTCGAGACTCCATGTCAAAATCACGTGTTCTAGAATGATCAATACAAAGTAAACAGACCGCTTTGACAGATTTCAAAAACTTGTATGGGCAAGGCAAGGCAAGGCTTACTATTTTATTAGTCCATTGGCGCACTGCCATACTGGTCGTTGTGTGCTCGCGGATTCTAGCAATGATGTAACATTTGACGATTTGGGGTTCCAGAGGTGAAACAGCAATAGAAAACAATCAAACACAAGTTTTCAGAGGAATGCACCCAGATTAACCTCTAATCCTTTCAAAAACTTTAATCATATTAATTATAATATAAGGAGGTAATAATAATATTTATTTTCCAATAGACACGGTATACATGTGTAGGAATAGTGAAATATACCTGACAGAGGCACTAATAATTATATGGGAAGTGCTAAAATATTGTAGAACATATACAGTGTGACCCACTTCTAATGGAAACACCCCTGTATCTTACGTAATCGTTGGGTAAGGATCCTGAAATTTGCTAGGAGCGAGAGATTTACCAAAAATGCACTCTATGACTATTTTGACTCCTTATATCATTTTCCGGAAATTGGGGTGGTTCCATGGCTGTTGGCGAGCAGTGTATATCACTGAAGGTGACCCCACTTGGCCATATAGTGCATTTTTGGTATATCTCTCGCTACAGCAAATTTCAGGATCCTTACCCAACGATTACGTAAGATAGAGGGGTGTTTCCATTAGAAGTGGGTCACACTGTATAAAGGAGCTATACACAAAAATATACAATAAAGAGTAAGAAAGAGCAAGATACAAGTGGTTGAGATGAACTAACATGAATAAAATGGAAACACTAACCCTGTACATGTGGAGCAAAATACTCCTCCAGTGTATACATTTTTCAGTGAGGAAATGTTTTAACCTATATTTGAAACTATTCAATCTCACATTATTTTTGACCTCACGCGTGAGATGATTGAATACTCTCAGTCCTAAGTATGACGGAGAGTTGGAACTCACCTTGTATTTATTTAACGAATGAAACATGGAATTTATCTTTTTTTATCTTCACACCTACTTATAATATTATGGATATTTTCATTTCGAGGAAAATCATTCTTATTATTGAAGACATAGAGACACAACTCAAATATAAATAGGCCTACGACAGTTAGAAGTTTACAACAAGAATGTGTTTTTGGAACCTTCGCTAAAATTCTGAGGACCTTTTTTTGTGCAATAATCACATCCTGTAATAATGTGGATCCACCCCAGAGAAGAATACCATAACGTATTCTTGGAGCTACTTGAGCATGATACAACATCATCAATTGTTACTCAAGCAATACTCCACGCCACGCAGATGTCGAAACATGTAGCAGAATAAGTTCAGCTTTGAAACAATGCTATTGCAGTGAAATTTCCAACTCAAACATTCATCAATTGTTAATCCTAAGAAAACTGCAGTCGAAGTTTTACGATATTTAGTTGTTTTTTTGCATTATGAAACCTCATAATGTGGGTTTTCTCCGTGTTCAATAAAAGTGAGTTTGCACTGCACCATGAGTAGATGTCATTCAGTAATTGTTCACAATTGTCTTTAGGAGAATTCCCGTCTTTATTTGATATCAGTACTGACGTATCATCGGCGTATATGACGAATTGAGCATCAGTAGCTGAAGTATCCACCTCAAAAAGAAGCAAAATTGGTCCCAATACGGGGCCCTGGGGAACGCCCAGATTGACATTAAGCCGGCTCGAATTTGCTTTTCGAGAACAGAATATTATGTTGAACACAATCAAATGCCCTGCTTAAATCACAAAAGATTCCAACAGGACACTCTCCTGCTTCTAAAAACCGAATCACGTTTTTGTAGAATGCTAAGGTGGCACTATTAGTCGATCTATTCTGACAGAAACCATGTTGATTCTTTGATGATAAATCATGTTTTTCAATAGATCTTATTAATCTATCTAGGAAGGCATACTCAAAGATTTTAGAGAAGCAGGAAGGAATCGGGATAGGTCTATAATTTCTCATAAATAACTGGTTAGATTTTTTATGAATCGGCACAATTTTCCCAACTCTCAATTCATGTGGAAAGGACCCTGTGAGAAATGAAAGATTTATTATATAAGTGAGAGATTCAATAATATGACTAAGGAATTTTTTGACCAAGAACATTGGAACTTCATCAGGACCCGAGGAGGATTTATTTTTAATGTTCCTTTGGAGAAGTAATAATAATTCTTCTTTCACAAAAGGTTCGAAAAATATTGAGTGTTGGTAATTAAGTAATCATAATTCATTACAAGAATTATTATTCATTGAAAGAATATCGTTGAATTAGGAACTAACTTCTTCAGGTTCTCCTTTGTTGAATAATTTTATATGAAAAATCCAAGATATTTTTGTGATCCTACGATTGCAGAAGATAAAAATATTCAAGTTCGAAATTTTCTTCGTAAAATTGTATGCGGGGAATGCAAAAACTAAAAAATAACGCTGCCGACACTCTTATTTATTTTGTCAGTTTCAAAGAGTCTAGGTCTGGTTATGATTCTATATACAGGGTGTTTCAAAATTCAGTATCAAGATTTTAGGGACGTATTTTTCAGGTCAAAATAAGACGTTTTTGTCCATAAACATGTGTCCGCAAACGCTTCGTTACCGATCTACAGAGCGTTAAAGTTTCAAGATTTTTTTATTTTTTTCTTCATAGCTCTTTCAATTTTTGAGATATTAAGATCAAATTTGGAATGTAGGTTACGTTCTAGGGCTTACATCATCCAGCATGCCGAGTGATTGTGAGAATCTACAGGGAGATATTTTTTTCAGGGGTCAAGCCCTTTTTTACCCCATAAACTTTTTTGTGGTGCGCCGCTGGTGAATTCCGAGATACGAAATGAATTCTTTGTTTTGTTTATAAATTTTTTTGTCTCTTGTAATTTTCACGCATCTGCGATCGTTATCGAGAAAAAAGTAAAATCAATTTTTGTGATTCGCTACATTTAATTAAAATTTTCAACGGAACAATGAAAAAGCGAATTAGTGGGCTTTGACTGCTATTTTCATTTTGACGTTTAGGTTTGTTTTGAAGCATTTGACATTATTTGAAAGTTGGTGGATGTCTCATCGTGTATTTGTTTAACTTTAACGCTCTGTAGATCGGTAACGAAGCGTTTGCGGACACATGTTTATGGACAAAAACGTCTTATTTTGACCTGAAAAATACGCCCCTAAAATCTTGATACTGAATTTTGAAACACCCTGTATTTTAGTTGGCTTTAGTTTCAACTTCCAAATCCATATACAGGGTGTTTCATAATTGAATGCTGATCCTAAAGGGCGATAATCCTTCGATGATTTTAAGAAAAATTCTTCATGTGAACATAGGTCCGTAACAGCTTCGTTTCTGAGATACAGGATGTTGAAATTTAACAAAAAAATCAGTTATTCCCCAATATCTCTGAAACCGCTCTGGCTTTTTTCTTCAATTTTGGTACATGCCAAGTATGAATAGAAATACATTTTTTCCATAATAAAGGATTTCTTAATTTCCATCAGTGGCGTCCCTGTTAACATACCCTGTCATATTTTTCATCAAAATAATGATACGCCACTGTATTTTTTCCAAATAAATATCATTTTGTAATTAGCCTCTATCTTCTCATAAAAATGGTCTCCTGTCTTTTTTTCGTTCGGCGAACGGTTTTTGAGTTAGAAAATAAAATGCATTCATTTGCTTGTCCCTATTCGATTTTTACTCTTAGTCATAATTTCACAATTGTGGTAATCAAAAGATCTAAGCAATATTGTTTTAATTTAATGGTAACTATTTTCAAGTTTTTGTAATGAAGAAAAAGCCAGAGCGGTTTCAGAGATATTGGGGAATAACTGATTTTTTTGTTAAATTTCAACATCCTGTATCTCAGAAACGAAGCTGTTACGGACCTATGTTCACATGAAGAATTTTTCTTAAAATCATCCAAGGATTATCCCCCTTTAGGATCAGCATTCAATTATGAAACACCCTGTATACAACGATGACAGAAAGCTCAGTGTGATTTTTACGCATATTGATTTGTGCTATTAAATGACCACTTCTCGAAGGTCTATCAACAACTTCATCTTTTGGAAAAAAAATGGAATTTCAGTATACTATGACTGAATAAACAGCTGGTTGGATTTCCAGTTTGACAGATCGCATTTTTTTGTTCTTCAGGGAAATAAAATAATATTTTTTTTTAGTTCAAGTACACGTATTCTCAGCGAACTCATAAAAGTGCACTTTATTTCACTAGTGGTCTGTTTGGTAGAGCAGCAGCAAAAGATATCTGGTTCCCAGAACCCTCAAGAAAAGATCCAATTTTAAGGGTAAGCTGTAAAAGTTTGATACCAATATTTTACCTCATATTCTCCACTGCAAATGATTGAAATAAATGAACTTAATAAAACTTACAAACAAAATTAAATAAATTCAAGTGAACAAAATTTGTAAAAACAAAACTGATTAGCAGCATATTCATTCATAAGTTGAATAGATAACTACTATTTCCTTTTAAGGTAATTGACTATTATTGTGTCAGTAATTATTCATAAATCTTTTGATGAAATTGATGTAGCCAGCCTCTTAGCCTGTTTTGACACTACACTGTTTGACTTGCATCACAGTTCTAAAACGATTTTAATTGCCCCCTGAAGATACAAAGTATAGTTAGCAAAATGGGTGTCAAGGCCTTGAAAAATAAGTTTGTTGATAAAGAGTGTAGTATTAGGTTCCAGTTTTCGAAATATTTTTATTCATGATCAATTTATGTCGAAAAGCACTATCAGCAAATAGCATTTTTACCACATATACTTCAGTTTTTTATTAAATCTTCAGTTTTATAAACTCTGTACTCGATGGGAAAACGATGTTAAACAAAATTCGGCCGCTCAGCAAGAGAGAATAATTTTTATGAACGGAGCGGAAATGTCTAAAACTGTTCAAGAAATCAACGAGAGATTGAAAATGAAGAAAACTCTTCTGGAAACAGGTAATTTTTCATGTTTATTTCATATTTTTATTTAGTGACATTACCCAACCTATTTGAAAAAAATTATTTTGATATATAATAGTATATTATGTAACAAGTGTTATAAACGTCCTTTTAGTAACGAGTATTTTAAGCACGAGCGGAGCAGAGCGGAGCGAGTGTTTAATAAACGAGTGTCTAGAAGAGTTTATAACCGCGTTACATACTATGCTTTTTCTACGAACTCCGAAAATTACATCAACATACCTGCTATTCCTGCTAACCTACAAAATAATTCGAAAGGAATGAGAATTGAGAACATAATACATGCAACTATATGCAACCAGCGAGACACGTATACGTGATATTGGTTGTGATGTGTTCAGTCCATTGCTCACTAACCTCTGTTTCACATTTATTGTCATGCTTAGCGCAGAATAAATAAATCGTTCTCAAAGATGGATGCTTCATTTTTACACTTCTTGGAGATATGCAAGTACCAAAACATTCTCTTCGATTTCACTTTCGTCTACATTTCGCATATATTTTTAATGAAGAATTCTGATACAAACGAAAATTGTCTGAATAATTCTGATACAAAATTCGGAAATTACAGTTGACAGTTCCTACAATTGACAGGCCAGACATGTCTCAAATTACGGAAGCTGTGTTTAATGAACTGTGTTGCCATGGTAATGTGTTTAAGAAATCGTGTTGCCATGGTAACGTGTTTAATATTTTTAATAAATCACAGATCGTCAATCCGTGATTAATCGACCATTTAGCGTGGTACATATCTGTACGCTAAATGCCAATTTAGTTATGTGAGTAGAAAAAGTTGTTTACTTCATTCATATAATAAAAATTGACAGGCACCGGCATTGATGCAAGAGAAAATATATGTTTTTTGAAAAATAAAATTACTAGATTAAGTAATTCCTACTATTCCCTATTATTTGTTGAATTTTCATTTTAGTCGTCTAAAAAATAACATGTTCTTTTCAGAGGACATAATTATGATGTATGACATGTGTGCATATGAAACAGCCTGGAACAAATTAGCCAAATCACCTTGGTGTTCTGTTTTCACTGTAGACAATTTGAAGGTGAGTTTCCGGTGAACTTACTATTATTTAAATGATAACATGGCTCTTACTATTGGTGTAGTGTTACCCTTATCATTGACTGATTATCTAAAAACGACACTCTTACCACATATCCAGAAATTAGGACCCCGCACAAAACCATAGGGAATTGGCCCACAGTGGGATTTGCCTGAAATTCACATATGTTATTGGTATGGAGTTTCTGATCAAATGTTTTCATGTGACCAATCCTCTAAGACCAAAGATTTAGCTCTCAGGGCCGTATTTAGTATAGGTGCCAAATAAACAATGACACTTTTTTTTTTCAAGCCCATGATTTTTGTATCCCATTATAATTTAATTGAATGAAAAATGTTGCGAAATCTTGGCATTTGTCTTTTAGCACAAGTCCTCTGTGAAACATGCCTTGTCCTAAAGGACCGTATTTAGTAAAACTGTATTTGCCAAAGTGCCGAATCGAATTGATTTTGTTATTTCTTTCTTATTTCTTGTCCTATTTCAGTGGTCGTTTGATAGATGAATGTAGATTTCTTTGTGGTCACCATCTTAATATTCAAGAAATATCGGTTTCAACTTTGTTAGTAATGAATCAGATGAAGTTTCAATTAGATAGTAGAGTTATATTTATATTATAGTGTTAGGTAATTGAAAAAGTAAATGACCGATTTCAACAATCGAAACGTGTTCTTATCTTTCCCTGTTACTATGATTCCTAAAAAGCTACGAGATATGTCCTACATAAAGATTAAATGTTAGGCCGACCATCTTGAATATTAAGATGGTGACCACTTTTGTTATGTGCACAAAGAAATCTACATTCACCTATCAAACAACCACTGAAATAGGACAAGAAATAAGAAAGTAATAACAAAATCAATTCGATTCGGCACTTTGGCAAATACAGTTTTACTAAATACGGTCCTGTAGGACAAGGCATGTTTTACAGAGGACTTGTGCTGAAAGACAAATTCCAAGATTTCGCAATATTTCACATTCAATTAAATGATAATGGGAGATACAAAAATCATGGGCTTGAAAAAAAAGTGTCATTGTTTATTTGGCAGCTATACTAAATACGGCCCTGAGAGCTGAATCTTTGGTCTTAGAGGATAGGTCACATGAAGACATTTGATCAGAAACTCCATATCAATAACAATGGCGAATTTCAGGCAAATCCCACTGTGGGCCAATTCCCTATGGTTTTGTGCGGGGTCCTTTACCATTTTAGTTCAAAAATAGTTGTATGTACAGGATCTTCACTTATATTTTGAATTCCCTAAACTCTTGTTGAAACTGCTGAGAAACTGAGTTGATTAAAAAATTATTAGTTATTTAATTATGTTGAAAAACAATCACTTTGTGATATAACATATATCATTATAACAAATAAACATATATGAAAATTAGAATGTTTTAAATCTAGAGCAGTTCACTCCACTATTGGCGATAGTATTTCTGTTGAGTTTTCAAGCTGGTGTGTGATGAAATGCTTTTTGACTGAAATGTTTGCATTATCTAACCAAATCTTTCCAACAGAAATTCAAATTAGAATGATCAACTTTGAAAACGAGCTGTCAGCATTATATAATTTTCAATTATTATGTTATTCTAATGCATATTTATGTTTTGTCCATAATTCCCATTTCATCAGGTATTCGGTATTTAATTTAAAGCAATGATCCAATTTCCACCCATACTATTGGTTGAATACGACATTTCAGATACCATTACTAACTGGATCGAAACTTCCCGAATCATTTGATTTATCGATGAATCTTGTGACACTGTACTGGCATAAAACATCATGAAAATGGTGGAGGAGCCGAAACTATATCTTCACGAATATTTTCTAAACTTGAAGCTGTTCGCATTGAAAAAAATGTGTTTTTTCTGTGACGGGAAAGAAGTTTGGCATTTCATCTCTGTTGGCAGGTTATGAAATGCCACTTTTCATAAATAACTTTTTTCCCGTGGGAAAAAAATTAGTACTGTTTTCCCGGATATATATCACATATATATACACTGTTGATGGCTTTTGTTGTGCTATAGTTCCGAAAAATTAGTCAATAATACCGTCTCCGAGAAAGAACTGCAAGTCCTTTTATCTTCCATTCGACTTCGCGGTTACGTATATATTACTAAACAACCACTAAACTCGCAATTTTTTTAAATCAGATCACAGAATTAGACTGACAGAAGTGACATCAGATATGTGATTACTTCAAAAAAATGATAAAAGAGCCTACAATGCAGGTGTCCCTACTGTTAAAAACTTAAAATTTCACGTCGATAATTTTCAGATTTCAAAATAATGTAATATCTTCTCAATATTAATTCGTCCTTTCGTCTGTCACAGAAAAAAATAGTGTATTATACACGGGAAAAATATTAGATTTTGGCTCACGGTTTTTGTCTCCCTCCGCTACGCGTCGGGAGACTACACAACCTGGAGCTAAAATCTACTACTTTTTTCCCTTGTATAATAAATAACTATCAATGAATTCTCATGAACCATACAGGGGAATGAAAATTTGAATGTTGAAAATTTACTCATTGTGGTCTAAAAAGGGGTCTTACCCAAAATCTAATTTACACACTGTCTGTTCCAAGATAATTTGTGAGTAAGAAAAAAAGAAATGAACATGAACAGTACATTATTTTGCTGATGAACGGGTTGATATCAGAAAAATATTGATTATTTCAGCACAACAGCGATGAAGATGCCGAGAGGTGATTATTGCCTGTTTCCGAAAAATGCCGTGTCACTTCCCACCCTTAATATCTTCCTTCTAGTAAATGATATAAAAAATCGAAAAGACACGTCAATTTCATTTCCAAGGAAGAGATTTGAAATTCATATTTTCCGTCGACCTCGTATTAACGACTAAGTTTAATGTATATGAAATCGTTCATTAATGACCCCTATTAATGAACGATTTGTCTATTAATGCACGATTGTTTTATAGGCAACCAAACATACACCGCGTGCATTCATTGTTTATGTTATAACTTACGGAATCTGCATTTAAATCGAAAATATGGATTTCATCGAAAATTTTCCGGGTTCGCCTTTCCAAGTTTCTAACACGACTTTAATCCCTGTTTTTTCTAACACAAGGAATTTATTTTCTATGTTGATCATTTCGACAAATGTTAAATGTCACTAATGTCAGTAAGAAGGCTACTGGGTGATTCTTAGCAGTCTCCGGATGAATGATGAATTCGCGAACCAAGTTTTCTTCATTGCAGGAGAAATGAGAAATATAGTCGACGGAAAATTTTTGTAACCAACTTGTATATTAAAAGGCGATTAATGATCTCGAACAATTTTCGTCAGACAAAAAACAAAATGGCGGCTGAAAAATGGTGAACGAGTTTTGTAATTGTGATCCGACTCAATCCAAAATTGGTATATGGGGGTTTTCGGGGTCGGAGAATATGATTCCTTCGTCAAAATTGGGTACTAACAAAATATATGAACCGATTTCATTCCATGTTTTCAATCAAAAAGAGTTTGTTTTCAATTTGATAATTTCGACAAATGTGGACTTTCATGGCTGCTGGATGATTTTAAGTAGTTTGCAGATGAATAATGAATTTGCGAATCAAATTTTCTTCATTGCAGGAGAAATATTGTCGGTGGATTTTTTAAACCAACTCGTATATGTTAATTTGGCGAAAATTGATCTCGAATATTAACGCGCTCCCTATGCTCGCACGTTGAAATATCTCGATCATTTACCGCCCTCGTTAATACACGAGTTGGTTAGGTAACCATTCCTCCGTTCTTTCCTTCATAAGGGATTTTCATTAGTGTGACTGCACTTGTAGGTCCTGGAATATGCTGCAGATCTCAAACATTACTGGCGCGATGGATACGGTTTTGAATTGACGTATAAACAAGCCTGCCCTGCCTTTGGAGATATGATGAATTTCTTAGAGTCGTATGTATAACTTTGACTGGACAGTGTAACAAAAGACTTACACTTTTCTTTATTAGAAAATCACGCTTTCCAAGAGTTAACGTATACTTCACACACTCTGGCACATTATTGAAAATGTTGGCCCATCTAGGACTATATGAGGACGACGAGCATTTAACTGCAAAGAATTTCGATCACATGTTGACGAGAAAGTGGAGGACAAGTTTGATTGATAGTTTTGGAACTAATCTGGCTTTTGTTCTTTACAGGTAAGAGTGCATGGTTTGAATATTAATTTCATGCATGTTATTGAGGAATTCATTATATTATTTATATCTCCGTTGCAGGACAATGTTATAATTTCATTTGTATAAAGTTTTTTGTTTCCAAAATTTAGTTATGCAAGATCCAAGATCTCATGTAAATCAATGTCTCCCACATGTCGTGAGTGATTCATTCAAAAAATAATCCGGTTGTCCTCTACATCTAGCGATTTAGACAAATATTTTTGCCTCCTGAAAGCAGTTGGTATAATAGAGCTCTTTCAGAGACGTCATATGACGTAGAGTTGAACACTTGATAAGGATAGGGATATTTTACTAAGGGTACATGCAGAATGTAGGTAGGTACACGTAAAATTAACAGTCCGAAACCATCAGAAGCATGCGCAGTGACAAGGTAGTGTTCGCGTTTTCTCAGGACTGTTTCGTATTCCACAGATCACGTGTTTTCGTTTCATATGAACTAGTTTGGGATAGTTTCCAATCTGTCCAAAGCATTACCAGCCTCTGAGCAAGAACTGCCGAAGACTGTCGTGGATAATTTTGGATGTGCATGCGTTTATGGAACAGATTTTTAACCTCTAAGCGTTCTTATGTTGAGAGATGCACTTTCAAACTAGATGAATGGAATTATTGAAAAATATCAATCAAGATTATGAACAATAGCAATGGGTATATGAGCTTTAACTCATCGTCCTATCTTCAAGTTCAGATGATAACAACTGCAGAATGGTGGTGTTGAATGTATCTGTAATCAGATTGAGAATTCAGGGATCATTTTTGGTATATGTGTAAGGGTATCAATATTTTATTGGGAACGGTTTGTGTTCAGGTCTTGAATTTTGGGATTATTTTATGATAACATCAGCATAACCCTAACCTAAATATGCTCTCCATTGACGTGAGTCAAGACACAGCAAATTTTCGAGAAAGAAGATGAGAAAATGGGAAAACGCCTTTTTTGTTTATCTGGATTCAAAACTATCCCAGACTTGTTTCGGATTGAATTTGATGCGCACCTGATTCTGCGCAATGCAAGGACTGTTTCAGCAATATGGAACACGAAGAAACCTAATACCTGGAGCATTTTTGTATTGACCTGTTTGTTGATTCAATAGCAATATTCTTTTTACCTTGGTACATTCTCACTACTGAGATCAATTGAGTTAGACGGGGGTGAGACGGATCTGAGTTGTCTTGAATAAAAAGAACACGTTTTTATCCGTCAAGAAGGGCAAGGGAAGAAAACATAACCCAACATGATTCAACCAAAATGTAAAATGGCTGAGGACATTAATGAGGAGCATAGAAATATTATTGTAGTGAGTATTCAAAGGATTTAACCTGTAGACTGAAACTTTGAAGCTGAAAGCATGGTAAAATGAAGATGTAACCTCACAATTTTCAGCACAGAACCACAGAATTACTAGAATTAATCCAGTCTCACTACAACACCAGATGAATAGCAAGCTCAGTTGAGGTGAGGGGAAAGAAATAGTCTCAATGGGTTCTTAAGACAACTCACATCAGACAAAGATAAATAAAACATGTAATACAATTCAGCTATTTAGCTATACTGAGAATCTTGGTTAATCTCAGTCAAAGTTGGAATATTAATATTCATTGTGAATACTGTGAGTAAAGTGAATGATTTCAAAATAGAGTTTGAATTGCTTCATTTGTTGATTTAAAATGACTGGATTCATCTGTAATATGTCTAATATACCTCGTAATATACCTCAATCCTCAAAGAAGGCTCATTTAGCAACAACAGATGCACATATCATAATTTCACGAAAAATATCTACAATAGCAAATGCAAACATTTCAAGAATAGATGGTGCTGCACCTCATACGAAGTTTTGATTATATGAAAAACACCATATTAAGTGTAAATTAAGTTAACCTTAATATGAAATAGATGTTCATGATCATAACAGTATGGTGACATACTAAGTTCCATACAGATCAAAAGTGACTTCTTGTATGAGATGCCAATCCAAGTAATCCAAGCAGCTGGGTTTATTAGAGGTTTGAATGACATTGGCAGGCGGGGGGGCTACGGGAACAATTACAATTCCATTTAAGGAGTTCTAGTTGACCCCCATAAAGAATGAGAAAAAACACGGATACATTTCAGTTGGGAATTTCAGTGAATTTTGAAAACACATTCCTGCACTTATATCAGAGTTACTGGCAGAAACGCCCTCCTGTGGATGAGGAACGAATCTGGTACAGTCACGAAAGAAGGAGTTGGACAAGGTGGTGCTGAGCCAAGAACAAGTATCAATTATAGTGCCGGCCACATTCAGCACTGTTCCAGATAAGGAAAAAAGATTAGTCATTAACTTATATCAGAATTTGAGGCAATTGGTTCCTTCCAGACCAATTAACGTCTAGGACTGTAATGTCAGCTGGGGTGCTGAGACAACAATCGGGCTGTAGCCATGCTTTGTTGGGCAGAAGTAAGCCTAAGAAAACATGATGTCAGTGTCGGCTTAATATATAATTATAATCGTGATATTGAACTGTGTAAGTACAATGAGAAGCCAAGATTCAAAGCTATGCCGAAAACTTGAATCACAATTAATCAATATATGATAAGGAAGGTACTGCTGAGTGCTTTGCAAGAACTTTCATAATAGGAGTTCTTCCTTTTTGCCTCTCTCTACTAGGTATAAGGCAACCGTACATTTTGCCGATTACCTGAACCTAATCCATGAACAAAAACTCCAGTTGGAAACTTGTTATTTGTATACGAGTGAGTTTTATGTATGGAACGCCTCAATTATCTCGGTTGCACGATTTTTATAGATTTTGGTGTGCAAGGGTCTTGTGATGCAGCCGATATTATGGTGGTATTTACATTGTTGTCAAATCTCTCCTTTTTCCGGAATAATAATGAACTTTGTTATTTCAAATGGATCACCCTGTATATTTTTTGCTTTTTGAAATCCTTAAGAAATACTGAATATGTTTCATGTCATGTTCCCTATACCTAAATGCCATGATTTCGGAGTTATAGCTACATTCACATTATCTTCGCCGAAGTTAAAATAATACATTTAGATGGCTATGATTGAATAAACTCGTTTGATTTGAATAATCTTTAATAACTTATATCCTAATAGAAATATCATAACAAGGTCTAATGTCAGTAAATTAGTGAAAAGTTCAACGCAACTGGTGCAGTAAAAGATTTATCCAAATCATGGCGCAGAAAACCTAGAGCAACTGAAGACAAATCTTCAAATATTTGTTTCATGTTATAGGTATGTTCATATTTGAGTAGTAGAAAAATTAGGAATTTTAGAAAACATACAGTAAAGGCGATTATAGCAGATGCTCAAAATGTTGTCCGTTTACAATACAACAAGCCATGCGATTCTCAAAACTTTGCAATACATTTTGCAACATCCCTGACTGCTCAATTCTTCTTGTCTCTGTGGTTTTCCTATCTTTTAGTTTCTGAATATTGGCGGGTTTTGTTTTATAAACGATGTTTTTCAAGTGACCCCACAGGAAATAGAGTCTAAAGGATTCATGTCGAGTGATCGCGGGGGCCATTCGATAAAACCGTGCCTTCCAATCCATCTTCTGGGAATCACATTATTTAGGTATTGCCTCACCACACGCGCATAGTGAGGTGGAGCACCATCTTGTTGCAGCCAAATATTGTCGTTTGGGATATTGTTATTGTCTGAAAGTTTCGAATAATGAAATTCCCACATTAAAATGTAATTGAAAATACTTACTCGGATTTGGAAATAACCGAGCCAACTCAGGTATAATACTATTTTCCAATAAATCTGAATACACTAAACGTCAAAGTTGTTATTGTAGCAGTCATAGCCATCTAACTGTATTATTTTAACTTCGGCGAAGATAATGTATATGTAATAATACTATAACTCCGAAATCATGGCATTTAGGTATAGGGAACATGACATGAAAAATATTCAGTATTTCTTAAGGATTTCAAAGAGCAAAAAATATACAGGGTGATCCATTTGAAATAGCAAAGTTCATTATTATTTCGGAAAAAGGAGAGATCTGACAATGATGTAAATACAATCATATTATCGGCCGTATCACAAGACCCTTGCACACCAAAATCTATAAAAATCGTGCAATCCGTTTCCGAGATAATTGAGGCGTTCCATACATAAAACTCACTCTGTATACCTCTAATCGCCGATTTGTGATTGAGTTTTTTCTCTATTCAGCATTCTCTTTCCACGGTCTGTATGGTGAATATAACTTTATCATAAAACGAAAGAATAATAAAAATCCTTTTTTAGTTGTGATTCAGTTGACAAACTATTGGTGCTGCATCAAGAGAAAATCGTCAGATTGCCACCTTGCCCGGATTCCGATTTATGTGAAGTGGACAAAATCAAAGAGTTCTACGGGGAAAGTCTGGATAGCTGCGATTTTCAAGGCATGTGCAATTCGACTTATACTCAGAGAGATGTTGGGGAAGCATAATATGGTTGAGCCCAGGACAGAAACGGATTTCTATTACCAAAGACAATCATATGTTTTGACGAGATTTTAATTTTATTTATTGAGCGAATGACGTTGTATGAAAATATGTCACCAAGAGTTAATGAAACAATAAATTATTCTTTTATGATTTTATTATTTCTGTACCATGTTAACAGAATATTTGATAGTCCAGTAACTTCAATTCACTTTATTTTTATTTTCATGCTTCCCAAAGCCGAAAAAAATCACACTATACCATGTTCCCTGGTTAATTTTTTTATAATCGTCGCTTCTGTTTTGGACATGAGGTCAATTTAGTTATTCATTTATTTATCGAATCACGTGCATGAACTATTACAAAATATAATTACCTTGAGATATCAGAACCAGAAGTTCAAATGAGGGAAAGTTTTTGTGAAATGAGGAAATAAGCCAGCATGTATATTTGCATGAATTCGCGATAGATGAACATGATACAAAATGCAGGCACTAGAATACTTTTTAACAAATAGTTATTCATTAACACGAATGTTTGTTAGGGCTCACCACAACTCATTGAAAAATCAGATTCGAATTATTGTCTGCTCAGCACTAGCGGCTCTAGAAGTTTCGATAAGTGGTGACAATGTTATTTTGCAATTATTCACGGAATTTTTCATTCCATTGATTCTCGAATTTCTGGCCATCACAATTATGCTTAATGTGGTATCTATACATATCGATAAAATATTGATCTTCACGTAATAAATATTCAATAATTATACAAGGTGTTTCATAGGTAGAGGGAAATATTTCAATGGTACATAGGGGTCACCAAGGTGGTTCTGAAAATACCATATTTGATAGGTCTTAGCGTCTTCATAACGGAGATACAGGGCGATTTATCGATTTCGAATAATTATTCATTCGTCTATAAGTATTGAACTACCCAGTATATTTTCCTAAAATTTGATATGGAGCTTATACTTGAGACGTTGAATTCATTCACCTATCGGGTGAAGTGAAAATCCAGGTTCGGCTTCAGGAAAAATTTACATTTATTAGAAATATTAAAATAACACACTGTATGTAATAATTGACAGAGTTCATCAAAGGAATCGTGAAGAGGAAGAAAAACTGAACTGAATTTGATGCTTTTTGTTTTCCCGCCACAAATTCTCATCGTAACAATCATAAACAGAAAGCTAAAAGTATGTCAATTTGAAGAGTATTGAAATTATGAAACCACTTTCAATTATGATTATTTGATATATTCTTGTTAGATGATCGTTCGAAAGAACTTACTCAGTCTCACAGTATTTATAACAGATATACAGGGTGAATTATCGGTTTCGAATAATTATTCACTCGTCCATATAAGTATTAGACTACCCATCGCAGTAATATTTTCTCAAATTTGGTATTGAGCTTACTTGGGACGATGGATTCATTGACCTATCAGGCAGAATGGAAATATACAGGTTCAGCTTCAGGAAAAGTCTCATAGTCTTTATAACAGAGATACAGGGTGAATTATCGAATTATAATTATTTCGTATTATTCCCATTCCGCCTGATAGGTTAATGAATCCATCGTCCCAAGTAAGCTACATACCTACCAAATTTTAGAAAATGTTACTGGGTAGTTTAAGACTTATGGAGACTGTGAGACTTATTGAGTTCTTTCGTGCGATTTTTAGACTGAAATATCAAATAATCATAATTGACACTGGTTTCATAATTCCAATACTCTTCAAATTGAAATACTTTCAACTTTCTATTTATGATTGTTACGATGAGAATTGGTGGCGGGAAAACAAAAAGCATCATACATAATTCAGTTTTTCCTCCTCTTCACAATTCTTTTGATGTACTGTGTTAATTATTGAATACAGTGTGTTATTTTAATATTTCTAATAAATGTAAATTTTTTCTGAAGCCGAACCTGGATTTTCACTCCGTCAGATAGGTGAATGAATTTAACGTTCTAAGTATGAGCTCCTTACCAAATTTGAGAAAAATATACTGGGTAGGTCAATAGATATAGACGAATGAATAATTATTCGAAATCGATAAATCGCCCTGTACCTCCGTTATGAAGACTCTAAGACCTATCAAATATGGTATTTTCAGAACCACCTTGGTGACCTCTATCTACCATTGAAATATTTCCCTTTACCTATGAAACACCCTGTATATCTCCTCGAGGCTTTGGTCAGACAATATACATCAGCGGAAACGAAAAACTGATTTTTGTCTTATATCAGAATGCAAGGACAGTTTTATTATTGTCATCGTCAAGTCTGCTAATTCATAGTCCAAACTGACCTTTGATTATGGTCACATAACCTTCAAATACACGTTCATGAACTACTGCTAAATTTAATTGGAAATACGCCATCAAGAAGAAACCATAAAAACTGATTTTTGTAGCATGTTAGAATTGAACGTTAGTCTTATTATTGTCAAAGCCAAGTCTGCTAACTCATGTCCAAATTGACATTTGATTATGGTCACATAACCTTCAAATACACGTTCATGAATAACTGCTAAACTTAATTAAAAAGACACCACCTAGAAGAGTTTAACATTGATGAAGGTTATTATGGATTGAAGAAACTAATAAATCAACAATTTCAACTTTATTTATATCAATGTTCTATAAATAACACATAAACGCAGTAATACAAAATGCAGGAATTAAAAATATTGTGCACCAAATACACTGACCAGCAAAATTAACAATCTACCAAATGATGTATCTGATTTAGGTGAGCTTCAGGATAGTAACCATGCTATTAACCAAAGAATGGTGAGCTATACGATTGCATAATTATCGTCCTCAAAAAGGAATATATCAAGAGAGTTGGGCCTTTAAACAGCTTGCAATCGTAGTTTGTTGTAGCTGTTGTTACTAGTACACTTCTTGGAGCGTTATGTATTAAAAAAAACACGAAATTATACTCACACCTAGTATTTATAACTAACTACATTCTTGATAGGAACAAATAGGTAGTATAGTCACATTCCTGAAGCGTAATCTTCCAAAAATAAAGCAGCATCAAAATCGGATAAGGATTCAGGAAAAAATGATGTCAAATTAAGAGTAAATTTAGTGATAATAAGCGTTAGTGGACTGGCCTATTCAATTTATCATCAATAATCTTCAAATCAATATGCTTTCAAGTTCAGTTTTGAAGATTCCTTTAAATAATTTCAAGATCTCAAAATCACAAATGAAATAACAGTTTTGAATTGACTCGGCCGTTACTTGATGGAAATCCATGACAAATATAAAAACTTCACAAACGATAAGATTTCCACAAAATTCTCAAACACACGACATGTTTCGCTAACACAGTAGCTTCGTCAGGTGATATACTGGTACAATGAACTAAATTAACGTTGGCTTGCTTGACTTCTACTTTCCCAACCTGAAGGATTAGTTACCTGTGGACAGGTACGATAAACCTCCATTTTCGGAAAACAGGCACAATATCTACATAAGAATACGGTATACCGGATTAACTTTGACATTTTCCTTAACCCATTAGCGCCTTGCGTTGCCATATGGCAACGCTAGTCAGATGGAGATTCAATTAATTCCCAGACACTCAAATTTCCAGTTATCAGAGAGACAGCCCACATGATTCTCGAAAGAACCGGTTATGCACATGCCGCCATTTCTTTATTGGGAGTAAGTTGTTTCGGTCACGTGAATTTGTGAAACTTTGAGCTCATTTGAACTGACGTAAAACATGGACGTCACGTTCGTGTACGTATCATCCTGTTTTCGAGCATTTGATTTTGCGATTTTTGTTTTCATAATTGCACATGCTTCAAGTTATATATGTGACATATTGAAAAAAAAAATGCAGGAATGTTTTTTGTGTTAAAAATTTGCATCAAATATTCGTGTTGCCACATGGCAACGCTAGGCGCTTATACTCAGCGAATGTGGTGACTCTCCGGCAGAGCCAATGGATGTTGAACCATTGGCCGGACAATCATCTCTTCGGAATTCTGCTAATACTTCCATATCAATATGTGATGAGTCAAATAATTAGATGACGAAGTTATCCAGCACGGGTCAGAAGAATCCAGGAGGTATGCGTTGTTTTTTTAAGTAATCAAGTGATACTATTTGTTTATGGGCGAAACTGATCGAATGGATCAAAATATTAGTTATTACCGCATATAGGAATTCGTACAGGCCCCTAATCCCTTGGGTATTAGACGTAGCCATGCAAAATAGCTGGATTTTCACAATGACTGTGTTCAAAATGTAATGGAGGTATTTGTGTTGATATTCCAAAATATGTTTCACAAGCGCCTAGCAGATTTTTGGAAAACCTGAATTCCATTCATGATTCTTTGAACTTTTCTCGTCTTTCGGAAGCATTTCACACTAGTTAATGGCCATAAAATTTCAGAAAAAAAGGAAAACATAACTCTGGTGCTAATGGGTTAATGATCAATTAGACCTCAATAGTTCACCACTGTTGAATTTGTCTTCTTAGTAAGTAATAATATGTATTTGCTATCAACTCTTTCAACTTAATCCGGTATACCGTATTTTAATGTAGATATTGTGCCTAATTTCCAAAAATGAACTAAATGGAGGTTTATCGTACCTGTCCACAGGTAACTAATCCTTCAGGTTGGAAAAGTAGGATATATAAAAGTCAAGCAAGACAACGTTAGTTTAGTTCAATGTACCAGTATATCACCTGACGAAGCTACTGTGTTAGCGAAACATATCGTGTGTTTGAAAATTTTGTGGTATCGTTTGTGAAGTTCTCACATTTGACATAACAGTGTCTTATTCAAATGGTCAAAAATTGCCACTCATTACAATTACCGTCACAAGTCAATGGATAGAAGAGATAGTTTATCACAATTTTGCTGATCAGTGTATCCAATCAAACCGCATCACACACATCGTCACTCCTCCACCTGCCTCAATACGCAAATCCCGTCCAGCGTCATCCCAGCCGCCTCGAACCGATCGCTGACCAGCTCCGCCCGCTCCCCGCCAGCGAGCAGCACGGGCGTCGTGTGTGTGCGCACGCCCGCGATGGTCTTCGGCGTGCCCGCCTTGCCCACCACGTCGACCGCCTGCCCCACGCGCACGCCCACGGGCAGCGGGTTCAAGTCGGCGTCGAGCGTGAGCAGCCAGCGCGGCTGCAGGGCGGCCGACAGCAGGTAGAGCAGGTAGGGCGACTGGCCGAGGATGAGCGGGTAGGGGTCGAGGAGGCAGACGAGGGGCGCCAGGAGGCCTGAGGAGAAGGGGAAATAATAATAATAATAAATCGTCTTTATTGGTGAAGGTACATAGTAGGCGCAGTTTAGCCAAAGGCTACTCTTACACTTAACCTAATATGTACAATTGAAGTGAACTAATATGATAAATGGGAAGAAAGAGAAGATGTTTAAACGTAATACATAACAATAATAATTCCTAACAGAACCCACCAAACATGATACATAACAATAGTAGATTGTTTTATTAGGATCAAAAGTGACACTTTGTTGGACAAGCAAATTTTGCATTTGCGAGGCGGAGCGTTTAGCGAAGCCGAGCGGAAGCAAAATTTGCGAGTCGAACAGTCACTTTTGATCCGAATGAAACATGCTATTTTTTCTGCAACCGGAACAATTGACTCAAATAAACTTATGAAGTAACCACCAATGCCGTGCCATATGTATGCAATGCAACAAATATTGACAAATAATAATAAATACAACCACAGAGTGGAAAATGTTAGGTTAGTGAGCATATCAACAATGATAATAGTGATTATTTATTCCTCTCCATACTATACACTGTGTTTGACTTGATAATCAAATGAAGTTAAACAATATCGTTGTTTGAGACAAAAAAACTATTGCTTGCCGTGATTATTCAAAAACAAGTTATCCATCCCGAGAATAACAACTATGTTTCTTGGGGTAATAAAGACAATCAATCAATCAAAATACAGATCAAGCAAGTATTTAAATCTTGAAGGCTTCCCTGATCAAAACAAAAATACTTTACTGAGATGTTTATAATTCCAATATTACTAAACTATAATAAGGTGTATTTATATCTCCAGCATGGGTATGAAATGCCAAATCTGCTGAAATCGGAATGAAATCAGGTATGCGTCTCAATCCAAATAACCAAGTACAGTACATCCTTTTTAGTTCCTAGGACCTAAAGTTTAACTTTAGCTCCTAGGAACTAAAATTCAACTTTAGCTCCTAGGAACTAAATATGTTGCCTAGCAACATACCTATTTTCGTGTCAGTAATAGAAACGTCAATTATAATTCCAATACTACTAAACTATAATAAGGTGTATTTATATCTCCAGCATGGGTATGAAATGCCAAATCTGCTGAAATCGGAAAGAAATCAGGTATGCGTCTCAACCCAAATAACCAACCGTCACAATGTTGTTTATTCTTGATGACGTCCAGTACATCCTTTTTAGTTCCTAGGACCTAAAGTTTAACTTTAGCTCCTAGGAACTAAAATTCAACTTTAGCTCCTAGGAACTAAATATGTTGTCTAGCAACATACCTATTTTCGTGTCAGTAATAGAAACGTCAATTTAAGAGCTGATTTTGGTATCAAAATGGACGACTTTTGTGTCGGTTGCAGAAAAAAATATTTTTTAGTTATAAGTTTTGTGATATTGTTGAAATAACATTGCGATAATGTCCTCCTGAAGTATCCAACATAATATCATGAAGTAAATCGTTTATGAGACGTTGCACCAATATTGAAATCGATATCATTAGGTAATATTGTGACATGTTGATTTTAGGTTCATCAGATAAATCTTAGACAGAGTTGTTATGTTATCTGTGCAACGTTTCCGTTTCACTATCTTATAAAGTAGCTTACAATTATAGGGGATACAAGTGGATAATATTTTTTCTTGTACAGCAAAGTAACTCAACTGTCAGAAGTCAATTCCATTCCAGCCATTTTGTTTGTTGTCTATTATGGTGAACAGGTCAAACAGTGTGATCAGTGAAAATTTTGATTTTCAGATATTATTCGTAGTTATCAAAGTAAGTTAAGAACTAATAAACAAGTCTTGGACTCAGAAAGAAAATATGAATTGCTCTTGATACCTATACTTAGATTCCAGGTTTGCTCTGCGGGAATATAGAAATGCAACCAATCTGTATCTGCATTTTACAATATGTGAAGAAGTAGAAGGGATTCGTGAATACAGATTGTGTTCATATTTCACGAATTACAAGAATAATGGGTGAGTTATATATCATAGCTAGAAGGAGAACATAAAATAGAATTTCAAAATAAGTCAGGAAACTTCCAATATCTCGTTTATATTCACCTACTTTTCGAATGAATGTATCGTAGACCTAGGAAACAGTTTATTGTATAGTGACGAGGAAGTTTTGGAAGTTAGAACTTTATACACAAAGTTGCAAAGATTATAATTAGTACGATTTTTCATTGTCAACCAGTTCAGTTCTATGATTTTGATAGAGACATGATCATATTTTCTTAATGAGTAGACCAGTCTACTACAGAAGTTCCGTACTTTCTGTTTCGATTCAAATCAAATTTATTTAAAAGATTGCTGTACACAATATCCCCATAGTTGAACCGTGAAGACCAACGATTCTGTGAGAAGTTTCCTTGGGGGTCAGCTATCTTTATTGTTCAATGGAATGAGGACATTTGTATTTCGTGTAAATATTTCATTGTCAAATAATGAAGCGCTTTCGGCTAATAAATAAAACACCAAATGTGCTCATTTTGAAAGCAAACACTTTCATGATAGACGTTATTCCATCAGTGTCTTAGACGACATACGTCGTTTCATGGATCATCAAATATTTTGTTCACAACGATGCCAAATAGTCGAGCAAATAGTTAATCATATTCGGATAGTTTGGGCTTGGTGAAACGGATGGATCATCAAATATTTTGTTCACAACGATGCCAAATAGTCGAGCAAATAGTTAATCATACTCGGATAGTTTGGGCTTGGTGAAACGGATAGACACTATTAAGACATCTTTACTACTAAGTGGAATTCAATGAGTCAGCTCTAAAGTGTGGTCCCAGTTTTGACCGATTGACATAAGATGCGTTCGGTTATAACATATCTGTTAGCTCGATTCCATCTGTTAGCTCGGAAAGCGTTCGATAAATCAGATCTACTTCCTCTGTCTAATCTGCTCCGTGTTCGTTAATTGTCAGAGCGAGCTGAAAGATGTAATCTGTTTGCTCCGCCTTGAGGAGCAGATCATTCAGATTTGATCGGTTATTCGGTTGTCAATTGTCAACAAATCAATGTCAACAACATGTTATTGAAATTATATCTCTTTTATGTCGAAAAATTGGAGACTCGATCAACTGAAAACGAAATACGAAACTGAATTTTGTAGAATCCTCCTTGCCCAGAATCGCCAGAATGACCGACGAATTTGCTGTAGGTAGCATATTAATTATATATCTGTAATATATGCGATCACAACTGCCCTGGATCCACAGTTAATGACCGATCATATGAGACAGAATCATTCCTTCCCTAGTAATTTTCAAAATATAAATAACAAACATTCAAAAGAACTTTGTTGCCCTGACGTGTTTTTAAAAGTAATAAGGTTAAGTGAATTGTTTCTGTTTTCTGTTACTTCTGACAGCTGGCGCTCGCAATCTACTACCTCGTTGAGCGTTCGTTAAATACCATTAGCTCTATCTGCTAGGTGATCACGTGACACCAAATCTGCATCTGCTCGCTCGGCTCCGATTTTGTTAAACCGAACGCAGCTATTGTAGTCATAATAACCATAAAATAATAAGTTCTTGTTGGGTACAGTTGTGTACATAAACAAGTTGTACACAAGGTTGGTAGAACTGATTATAATTTGTATAGGAAGGTTGCCTCGATCGATAGTGCGGCAAGGGGGGAAACGGTCACTCGTGACGTCACAGGCAGTAAGACGACAACTTCATACAGTATGATCTAAGGAAGTAAGGACGACAAGTTGTCAACCTTAAAGCGACATGTCATGAAATGTTTACCAAATAGAGTATGCAAACATGATACAAACTTTTTGGTCTGCTCAGCATATTTATATTAATTTATTGTATATAATTATAAGTAAGTACCATTATAAAATATGAATATTTACATATACTTCTGTATAATACCTTCAATCTTCGAAATGAGAAGGCAATTTTGGATGGATCAGTAGTACAGAGAGGAATACCTATCTGAAATTTTGTTCCAGGGGCTATTTACCAGGTCGTGGTACCAAGGTATGTGTGTTTTGAGGTATGGAGCATAATTATGGAGCTATAGTGATTACTTATGCATTGATTATGAACCTACTCATCCTATAAATATCCTGCAAATCAGATAATGTGAACAAGAAACTACAGAAAATATAAGAATAATCAACTGATGATCCAGAAGTAGTAGCAGTGGACCAATATTCGTACACAACAGATCACTTATTTTATCAATATAACTCTGTATTCTGAAAAATTGACAAACTTTCCTAGATACCTATAGAAAATACAAGAGGAAATAGTATTTCATTGTTTGATTATATTGTAGTCAAAAACAGAGCAATCGATTGAAGTATTTGAGCATAAAAAAATAAAATATGATTCTGAACAAAATTAATGAAAAATAACACTACTATTATAAGTGAACCTATAATGAAGGATAGTTCAAGGAATCTCTCAAATAAACATAGCTCCTCTTCGTTGGGTAACGTCCTCTTGCTCAAATATCTCAACTTGAAAACACGTGTGATATCTTTCTGATGTCCATTTTACCCGTTCAGCAAGAATCTCAACTTTCACAACTGGTCTGGTTCTGATCATTTTTCCAAACTTGAATACTTATGGTGTTTCTTTTGTTGTATTTGGTATTATTGATGGGATTCCTACCTTGAGTTTTCATCTCTTTATTGGTGTGTGATTTAGCAATTCTGCTTGTGCCGTTCAAAATCCTCGACATCGAAATGGGCAGAACATATTCGCCAAGTTTTGGTATTAAATGAAATTACGTCCACAAAATTGAATCCATATTTCTCACGAATAGACTCATCTTATGGAAATTAATGGAAACACAAACTAAATTCACTAGTCTCATTACACTTGTACGAATTTCAACAAGAAGTGACCGAACAAATTATCATTTTTACATTTTCAAGTTCAAAATGGTTCAAATATTCGAAAATACTGACAACTGTCAACTCAATACATGCGCCGGCCAATCGCCGGCGTACATATCATACACGAAGTGTAGGAGAGTGCTACACTTTTCGTGCAAAAGAAAGGGCCTATTACGTCATGAGTTACTCAAAGTCACTCGCGGGGTGCGATCGAGGCAACCTTCCTCTACAAAATAGTCATCAGTTCTACCAACCTTGGTTGTACAAGGTTTGTATCGTGTAAACCTGCCTATGATGTTCCAGAGAGTACTCGTACACATGTGCGCGTTACTGACAAAAATAGTTTGAATTTTCGAATTTTGACTACTTGTCAAAGAAGAAGATTAATCAAGATTGACAAGTCGTAGCCTACTATAACTTCTGCACGACTTGTTTATGCACACAACTGTACATAACAAAATGGAAAATATGAATTATTCGAAGATGAACATAGCGACATCGCAAAGTTTCGTAGTAGACCAGCAATAATCGTTGTAAGTAATTTCATTTGTCGCTTTTGTTGTTATCAATGGTTTTCCTTCTTTTGTGTGATTTGTTTTCGGTGTTTCAGTAACTCATTTATATAATGATAGAAATCTAAAGCAGACTCTATTTTATGAAAAAATATGGTTTGTAAGTGTCAAATCTGAGAACATTTAGTTACAAAAATATCCTAACCTGATATTTCACAGGTATGTAAAAATTAGGTCCAGTGGTCATGGTTGATGGCATGATTTGTCAGTGACGAATCTGAGAACATTTAGTTGATTGTTGATTGATTGATTAATAGGAGAATGATCAGTCAGAGTTCGAAGCCCAAAACACTGCAGCCTTTGGGCCTATTGTGTTCCTGATCATGCTGTTGACTTAGGTGAACAGGTTCGCTACCTTGATAAGGTTTAGCAGCCTCTTCACCAAATCATTCGTTGGAAAAGCCTCTTGAGAGTTCAATGCTCCCAGAAGGTTGTATCTCCAACGCGCTAGTGCTTCGCACTCCAATATTACATGGGTGGCAGTTTCCTCCTCCTCATTGCATAGTCTGCATACGGGTTCGTCTGTATAGATGTCCATTTGATGCATATGTTTCCTCAAGGGGCAGTGACCGGTTATTAGTCCCTTCACTTGTCTGATCTGACTTCTGTTTAGGCTCAGAATGTCGTTAGTCACTGTTCTGGACAGTGTTCCAACCATCAGTTTACTGTGTCTTTGTCCTGGGACATTGTTCCAGTTTGCCTGATGTCTTTCTTGCATCCACCTTGCCAGCCAGCTGCGTATTGAGGTTTTGGTTTTGGGGATACCGAACACAGGTTCCGGTCGTCCCATAAAAAACGCCGCAAACCCTTGCCTAGCAAGAGCGTCAGCTGCTTCATTCCTTTCAATTCCCTTATGCCCTGGCACCCATCGAAGAGTTACCTGTTGTGGTTAGCCAGGGTTAGCAGGCTGGAACATTTAGTTAGTAAAATATCCTAACCTGATATTTCATAGGTATGTAGAAATTAGGTACAGTGACAGTCTTGTTTGCTGACTTGATTTTGTTGATGAAAAGATTATTTGAAATATTGAAAATATCAAATAACCTCACCAAAACGGTCCTAAATGACGTATTATTGTGTTCAACACGTGAGAGTTAATTTATTAATGCACATTCACAAATTTGGCAATGATTCCGCAGAATTATCTCCACCATTCGCAATTCCATTCATTCATACGTGTTCAGCGTTTAGGATTGTTGGCGTATACTTTTCTGTGATTTATATGAATGAATCGCGAATTGCGGAATTGTTAGTTAGTCTGAGACCGATACCAACCTGCCATGGTCAACGGATCGACCAGCATCCGATCGGTGTGCGACGCCTCGAATGTCAGCGTACCCTTGCCCATGTGCACCAGGCCTTGCGCGAACCGCACCATGAACAGCTGCGCCGGGTTCCTCGCATGGTAGACGGCCAGCTGACGAAGCCCCGCAGCCAATCGAGCGTTGTTCGTGCCGGCGCCGATCAGGCCCAAGCCGAACGCCGCGTTCACGGCCACCTAGAGAGTGTGTGTGTACAAGGTGACAATTTTAAAACCAGCAGCACTCGATATTTCTTCAACTGATGACATTAGGAAAATTTGACGATTCAATTTTAAACAACAATGTATCAAGGGAGACAACTTTTGAGGTATTCGCATTATTGTTACATTACATTTCATTTAACCCTTTCACCGTTAGGGCAACTCCCAATTATTTTGCTATATGCATCTCCCCTCCTACCTCCACATTCTTTAAGTAGTTGTATCAAGTTTTGTCAAGAGCGTCAATGTTCTATCCACGTTGAATTACCGGTAGTGGTTTCCATTCCCACCACGACTGCAGAAATTTTTCTGATGGCCTAAGAGAAAGTGTTTGGAATCACACGTTAAAAGGTAAGACCTCCGTCATTCCTTGCTCGCACAAGTCTCTTGGAGACTTCTGAGGGTTGCTCGTAAGGGGGCAACCGAATGATGGATAAGAACAATTTTAGAACAAAACAACAATGTCTTTGCTCAATGTCAGAATTGTCACAGAATATTGTGATATACCATCCTGCACCAAAGCAATAGCTCTCGCAGAGTCGGTTGCAGAAAGATCCATATCTTATTCAACCATTCGATGATTAACACAAGCATACAAATTGTCAACTGACAGGTCTGTCACAGCCAGCTATGCAAAAAATGTCTTGGGGAACCTTGTTATTACCATAGAAAAAAATGTTGAAATGTTACGTTCTTCTGAAACCCTTGTAACTTCCACAAAAATGAAGTTATCCCAACAAATAGAAAAAGAAAATGTTCGTAATAAACGTAGCTTGATGATGGACTGAAAAATTATAGGATGTACCAGCTTAGCCACTCCAGAGATTGTTTTAAAATTGAAGTAAAAATGCACTTTTTTGTTACTCTGTATAATTTGAAGATATGCCTCATTTCTTAAAATCTCAACATTGTGTGTGATTCTTCATGAATTTTTCTACGGAATAAAAAAAATTGAACGAATCAGACATGAATTAACGAAATTATCGTTGATCAAATTTTATCAATATTTTGGGTGAATCGATTATTTTGCCGGTGAGTGTATTAGTGTATATAATTATTACCTCTTCATCGTGGTCGTGCGCCAGCTTGGTGAGCAGGTCGACGGCGGCTGGGTGTGGGCGGGAGACCGAAGAAAGGGCGAGGGCGAGTGGGCAGGCCTTGCGCACCGAAGGGTCGCCGTAGCGGACGATGTCGCCGAAGATGCGGTGGACCATTTCGACGCCTAAGTGAGAGTTTCGACAAAGAGAGACAAGAAATTACATTTAGAAAATTGGCTGTTTTGATCAATCAAAATGTTCTAAAGGTCAATTGTTTCGTCAGAACCCAGCCAACCATCGTGTGACATCAACATCTGTGTGATGTAACAACCTTGCATAAATGCAATATCTCGTTAACACATCTTATCGACGTAGATTCGATATCAACGTCGCAAGGTGACAACGCAACCAGGAAACTATGTAATGTGGCAGCGACTTCTTCAAACTACATCTCTTCGACGTTAACTAAATAATTCACGTTGATATCCTCATGAGATATCTTTGTGACCTGTGACTGTGACGCAGACATGCGCAAAACGAACGCACATGCCAGACGCCATGTTGAGCTGTGCATGGCCACGTCAGTCAGTCAGTCAGTCAGTGAGTGAGTCCGACTCCGTACAGAATATTTCATTCCAAATTCTCTGTTGAAATATCTGAGATGATTTATAGCACATATTATAGCAGCTTCAGATTGGAGGTTTACAATCATTTAGGAACGACGGTGAGTTCAATCACAATAGGTAATATTGTGATTATCTCTGAGATAGGAAAACAAGGTGGATGAAAGATCTCAAGATAATGTAAGTGTGTTTTTGATATGTATCATTTAAGAATAATGTATATTTGTATTGCTATATATATGTGTCATGTTTTACTTCAAGATCACTAATTAGGGTAATTGTCATGATTTTTACTTTCGGAAAATAAACATTTTCTTCGTAAAGTTGAATAATTATTATTATTAAATATCCCACGAATATCGCAGGTACGGCGACCACATACATCATCGATGTCGCAGTGTGATGTATTTGTGATATGAAATGTACACTTGTATGTGACCTGGTAGTGATTTTTCATGTGATGTCGCATTTCATGTCTGAACGACGTCACAGTGATGTTGCTTTCACATCGCTTTCACATCGCCACGTTGTATCGGTAACATGTTTGTGACTTCAAATGCGATATCGCATGTCACAAAGTGATGTGGCGTATACATCACTTATACCTCTCATGGTTGACTGGGAATAACTTTCGATATGAACAATGAGGAAGTTTCCAATATATTGAGGTTTTTTCTCACTGTGAAGTTTGCTTGAATTTAAAATATACGTTTTTTACCTTTTTTTCGTGAGATCAAATTTCACATCAGAAAAAAATAAATGAGAAAGGGACTTGGCTCCTTCACCATTCCTCACACAGAGTGGAAATACGGGAAAAAATCATAATACGGCATCATCGTAATATGTCTAGATTTTCAGAAATTGATCTTTGAATTCTTACTAACACATATCATAACTACATCATAATAGGGTTTTTAATCTACTTCGTCGATTATTATGAATTATTTTCATAAATCGTTCATTTGCTGGATGAAGTTGATTAGAAAGAATGATAAATCATGATATTTGGCAATAGTACAGGGCTTTCATTCCAAAACTTACCACTCTGCATATCTTCTGATATGCAAAGATTATAATTTTCAGAAAAAACAGGTCGATTTAGATATCAAGGGGGAAGTAAAAATGCTATGTTCATCCCTTTCACCCCCAGACACCCCTACTTCAAAATCTCAAATGGCACCCCTACACTTTGAGATACATAAAATTGAAGGTCTATCAATGATCAAATCAACTAGGTGAAAAAATATTTATCTCGTATACAGGGTGAGTCATGAGGTACTGTACATACTCCTACCATGAACAGAGGCCCCTGAGGGCAATATCGAATGGCCATCTGGAGTTTTTCCTCCTCTTCTACAATAATAAACAGGGTGATTTATAGGCTTCAACGAAAAAATTGTTTTGTCACAACTTTCCAACAGCTTCTTAGATTTATTTCATTTTTTCATGGAACATTATGCACTCCAACACCAATAGACTAACGTAAAAAGAATTGAAAAAAATTCAGGACCGTACCTGTGAAATGTTGCCAGCTGTCAAAGAGTTCACTCTATATATGGTTTCAGTGAACAATGACATATTTTCTGTCAATCAGAACATAATGTGTTAGTGGTTCATCCAGCTGAGAATGGTATACCCTACTAGTTCCTTTCTAAACCAACTAGAATGATTCATTTTGCGATTCGTGTCTAAGAAGAAATGTAATTTTTCAGAGTGGTATTCAAAGCAATTTGCTCAAAATGTGCTCCATTATTCTCTAGACAATAGTACAGCCTATTTTCGAATTCTTCACGAACTTTTTGAAACGTCTCTCGATTGATTTGTCTGCATTCTGAAATTATCCTTTTTTTGAGTTGATCAATACTTTCTGTTCTGGAGTTTTCAGGTGACCACACAGAAAATAGTCAAGAGGTGTCAAATCTAGAAATCTTGCTGGCCATACTATGGCACTTCTTCTGCCAATCCACTGCCTATGAAATCGTTGATTCAACCATTCTATCACCACTAGAAGAAAATGTGGTGGAGCTCCATCCTGCTGAAAGAACAGAGGTTATTTTCGTGCAGCAACATATTTTCATGATCATTGATTTGCCTCTCTGAAGATTGTGTAATGAGGGGATCAATTGTATTCCAATAAATCCAGGTTCAATTGTCCATTTAAATTGTCTTCAATGAAGAGTCCAATATCTCATTTCCTAGAATACCAGCCCACACATTTATTTTATCAGGAGTATGGTCCTGTCGATATATGTGTGGATTTTCTAAAATTGTTCTATTCGTCATTCGGTTGCTCCCTTACGAGCAACCCTCAGAAGTCTTCGAGAGTCTTGTGCGAGCAAGGAATGACGGGGGCCTTACCTTTCAACTTGTGATCCCAAACACTTTCTTGTGCCATCAGAAAAATTTCTGCAGTCGCTGGGAATCGAACCCACGACCGGCAAGCGAATGCGGATTAGAATATTGACACTCTGTCCGCACGGCTACCTGGCCCACAATTATGTTTATTAACAAAGCCGTTCAAATAAAACGTTGATTCATCACTGAAACAGATGTGCTTAAGAAAACTGGCATCTTGTTGAATCTTCCCAAGTATTATCTCACAAAATTCGATTCTGCGGTCATGATCGTCTTCTGTAAGTTGATGGTGAATTTGAATTTTATATGGGAAGAATTTATTTAGTTCCAGCACTTTATTTATGGAACCAACCGAAATATTTGTAATTTTCGGCACATTGGGTATAGAGTTCTTCGAATCCATAGCAAAGTGGCCCAACACTTCGATTTGAGCCAGCGTAGGCCGGCGTACCTCAGTGCTTCGATGCTTCTATATCGATTCACGTCGAGGTATCGATCGTGGGTTCGAGACCCACGAACGCAGACTTTTTCTGATGGCCTAAGAAAGTGTTTGGGATCACGTTAAAAGGTAAGGCCCCCGTCATTCCTTGCTCGCACAAGTCTTTCGAAGACTTCTGAGGGTTGCTCGTAAGGGGGCAACCGAATGACGGATAAGAACAATTTAAGAACAATTTTAGAACTCTTGGTTGGATAGTTTTTTATTGCAAACGGATCCCGTTTCTTCAAATTTCTTGTCCTGATGTCTTTCATTAAAAACTCTAGACGTTCTTCTAGCACAGCGATTTTCAGGTTCATAAATAGATATAATTTCTATTCATTCTTGTGATGAATAAACCATTTTGAAGTATCGGTACTAATAACAATTTAATAGTATCTTACTGCCGAATATTCCTGATGGAGGCAGAAAGTAAACCTCAAATGTAACAAAAAGAATATCAAATATTGTTTTAATGAATTTTATAAAAAGTTTACCTATACAACATTGGCGTACTCCATCACAATTTATCTCATTGCTTTCGGTGATACCCTATAGGTGAATTGACAAATTATTCAGCAGGAACACTGGAATTTGGAAATCAGTAACTGACCTCTTTTACGACAAATGCGGAATTTCTTCAATCTTCCATACATAAGTCTATAGGAACGGGTGTGTATAATGTTTCATAAAAAAATTAAATAATTCAAAGAAATTGTTGGAAAGTTATGACAAAAATATAATTTTTCACCCAATCCTATGGATAACGACTCTGTATATTATTGTAGAAGAGGAGAAAACATTATGAATGACCATGCGGTATTCCGCTCAGGAGCATCTGTTCGTGGTAGGAGTATGTTCAGTTCCTCCTGACCCACCCTGTATGCAAAATAATTTATTTTTCACCTGGTTGATTTGATTATTGATAGACCTTCAATTTTATGTATCTCAAACTAGGGGGCGCCATTGGGGATTTCAAAGTAGGGATGTCTAGGAGTGAAGAGGATGAACATAGAATTCAATTGATACAGGCATTTTACTTCCCCCTCGATATCTAAATCGACCTGTTTTTTCCGAAAACTGTAATCTTCGCAGATCAAAAGATATGCAGGGTGATAAGTTTTGAAATGAATGCCCTGTATATCTATAATTTTTCAGTTTTGCGTTATATTACAAAATGATAATCATTTCTTCTAATCAATCATGTATTTGAAAATGAATCCGTTCGGATCTAATGATCATACTTTGAGCCCGTCCACACCACACAAAATACTAACAGGCACACTGCGAGAGCAGACTATTTGTGTTAACCAGTTTCACTTGTGTCGATCTCCAGTTATTCGTTAGCCCTTGTCTACACTTTAGTTGTTCAGTTTTTAGTTATCATCGCTATTTTACAAGTTTACAACGACGCCAATTTGTCTTCTTCTTCTTCTTCTATTTTTTCATTCGTAGTTATTCGGTAGCTATATTCTTCATCATCAACCAAACTCAGAGACTAGATTCAAAATGCACCGTTACAGTTTGCCGCCCCGAAAGTTGGAAATTGCTTCATTTCGAAAATAAAATTCGCCATTCTGTACAGCGTGGACATAAAATCAAGGAGTTCCGAACTTATTTTATGAAAATTCATCTGAAGGAAACTTCCCCATTTTATAATAGCATGTTCTGGATGGGTTATGTAAGGAATTATAAATAATGATGTTCACCTATATCTTCTCCCATCGAAACCACAGCCACGCCCAAAGTGGCCATCGCTTGACCCATCGAATGATCCCACTCGGTTTTCTTTGGCGCCTTTATCGACGTCACGCCGTCCTTGTCCTGATTATCAGCAGGCTGCTCCTTACCATCCTTCTTATCTTTCCTCTCTCGCTTCTCCTTCTTGTCCTTTTTCTCTTTCTTCGGCAAGTCGACCTAAAGTAGAATACTTTATTTCCTCTCAATCGTCCGAAAACTGCTAATTTCTTCAAATACTAGGCTCGGTAGAAAGGACGGATGCTTTTTTTTCGAAAACACTATTCTCAGTTTCAGTCGTTCGATAAATCCAAAACTTTTGCATATGGCGCATATTACTATTTCTTCTCCACCAAGGAAGGAAGCGAGTGGACTATTTTTTTATTTCTTAAATATAATCATCACTCAAATACCTCAAATACCAATCAATTTCATATTTTCAAGAATTTTTCGGTCGATTTTTAGTTGCTTAAATCATGAATAATGCCACGGTGATTTTGATACGGCTAAAAATTTAACGCTAGTAAAAACCGACGCAACGAGTAGGGGCAGACCATAGCATAGTTGCCATGTGTTGAAATACGATTGGGAACATCATGAATATTAGTTATTCGATAATTCATAAATTCTCAATTGAGTATTGGTAATATTCCTAATTAGCAATTTTGTGTCTTATTGCTTATAACAAACCTGTGTAAATAAAAATTATATGAATTCACACTAGAGGACATTTGAATCGGTGAACGTGACAACCCCGCGCACGACTTGAGGGCGTGATCTTGTCAGCTCTCAGCATTCGGCACAATGTTGCCAAGTCTCCAACATTCACGATATTTTCTCATGGAGAAAGAGAAATATTTGGACCTGCTGGTTGCTCGAAAAAGTCAAGAATGAACGATAACGTCATGAGTTCCCCCTATTATGTTTTATTCGACGACAGGACTCGAACATCTTTTCGATAACTTGATTTCAATTGCTGACTGGGAGGGAGGATTGTGGTGCAATCGCCCTGTGAGAAAAGGGGTGAAGTGATTTGTCATTTTGACTTGTTAATGAATAAATATTAAATACAGTTCTTTCACATTGTGATTCATTATATATCAATAACTACTACGATCCCATCAAAGACATGTTGAATATTGATGAGTATCCGGCTAGGGTACCTCGGGATTGCCATTCCCGTAATCACAACAGCAGGAATGATCTACACTATCTAACAGGTCCGCTTAAAGGTCACTGGCTTCTAAATCATCATAAATATGTCTGGACTTTGACTTTGGATGGTCCGGCATGCCGTCTCATGTGTCTTGAAGATGATGAAACAATGGAGTATATATTTGGGCCGGCCCCGCCGCGACCTAAATCAGGTTTTTGCTATTTGACAGGATTTCACTTTCGCCCTCGGACCTGAAAGATCATTCACCATGAAAACTAATCGGCTCCTTCATGAAGTTGAATCTACTTGATGAGATATGAATTGTGTACCAAACCAGTCACTGCAGACTCGGTCGACGAATGATTTATTTATTTAGCAATAAAATGATGATACTGAACCATTCATACTTAGACAAAATTATATTCCTACAACAATATATATTATTACAAAGGGTGGGTAATGACCGAACGAATTAGTGAGGAGATAATTTCTTCGTCGGTGGCCATCCCTGCGACCTGCCAACTGGATGGAAATAACAACCCACTAGGTACCAAGAGGATTACAGTTATTACTGATCATACGGTAGGATTTTCTCGGCTACTCAATCCACCGATCTACATTTGGTGTTCGCGATCGCTTCCCACATTCAGTTGAGCATCGAGTTCCTGGATAACCTTCCTCTAGGTCACCGGAAGATCTCCACCCTTTTCGCTGCTCAACTGCCTTTTTTAACCCACCATCGTCTCATACGTCAGCAAGCTGAGTAACGTCACAGATCCAGCACATACAGGGTGTGCCTGATACAATTGGTGTGGCCGACAATAGACCCTTACGGGTCGCAATAGAAGGCCGTATAGACCCACTCACCTAACACTCAACCTTATCAGAATATGAAGAACCAATATTAATTATGTTAATGAACACATAGCAAACCTTTTCCCCTACTATATGTAACAGCTCCTGAATGATCAGCACATCCCCTGTTCCAGCATAAGCGCACATCAACAGCATAGTTTGAATGAAGGTCTTGAAGGGCTCCTCCAAAATATTGGTCGCTTCCGTAGGCACATCGACAGCATCTCTTACCTGTAAAAACAGAATTTCTCGAAAAATATGTAGAAAAAATTTCAAAACTGTATTTTATGCAACGATTAAGAGTTTAGTTACGATACGAATCGAAGGCGAGTGTAATAAAATTCAAAACGATAAAATCAGCATGCACTGAGATATGGGAAACCGGATTAGCGTTACTTTTTTACAAGGTGGTAGATATCGAGCCGTGCTATCAGGGAACCTGACTTTCGCTGATTTCAAAGTAGACCAATTTGAAGGTCCACCAATTTACCACCATTTATTTTTCTATTGTTAGCGACGATGTTCAAATCACACAAGGGCAGAAAATGAGCAGCTAATAGCCGCGGGCTGCTAAAGCGGTTTCTGCATGTGTGACACACAACTGTTTTTCGCTTACCAGAAGCATAATTGTTCTCTCGATTCCGCACTATGATTCACACTGACGTTTAATGAAAATTTATGTGCAACGTCAAAATACGCATCTAGATAGTGAAGAACTGCATAATCGTGTTATTAGTTTAACAGCCCAAGGGACGATAACATTACTTTCGGTCACATTTTTAAGGTTGATATGATTCATTATCACATATGGTCGGCGAAAATAGTATATTCTGTCACTAGGGCAGAAAATGAGCTTTAGCAGTCCGTGGCTATCAGCTGCACGAGCAAAGCGATGGCAGCTGGTAGCTGAGGGTCTATATAATGAAAAACTACAGAATCGTGTTTTTATGAGTTTAGCAGCCCAAAGGACGATATACATTACTTTCGGTCACATTTTTAGGGTTGACATAGTTCATTATCATATATGGTAGGCGACACAAATATATTACTTCTCGGAGTTTTCATTACAGGAATTTCTTGAATTATTTGGTGATTTCTCAGGTGAGTAATGAATAAAATTGATGATTGACACAGGAAAATGTTTATTCCTCAGGAATTACTGTCTGATCATTCATGTCGTTCCTACTAGAAAATTAATTATACTTTATATATTATTTGTATAAAATTTATCAATCAAGAGAAGTATGTAACGCACTAACTGAAATAAATAAGTAAATAAATAAATAAATAAATAAATAAATAAATAAATAAAGATCATTCTGATTCTAACACTCTCACCCCGAAATAGCACAAGGATAGGCCGAGCGCGACCAGCCGCAGGTGGGGCGACCGCAGCGCCTCCGTGCCGTTCAGCTCGATGATCCTGTCGAGCACGGTGGCGGACACCTGGTTGTTCGGCTCGCCGACGGACACGAGGCCGCACGACAGGCTGGCCACGCCTACAACTTCCAGCGATTTGGCGGAGGGGACGAGCGGCAGCAGCAGCTCGATCACGTCTTGCCGGTGGGTGCCTGGAAGGGATAGGGACGGGTGTCTTTTCTCAGAAAAACATTGAGATCGAACGACCTAAAGAGCGATACAGACGATACAGTCACGGCGAATATATAATGGAAGAGCGAAATTATTTTTGGCATCTTCTTTATGACAGCTGTTGCAAAATCACTACATACCTACACTAAAACATAACTGTATTCCGACCTCATACGATTGAAACAAATCCAATTAATTGGACATTCTCATTGAGCATATAGATATACAAATCAAAAATCATCTGAATGAAAAACTGACACTTATTTAAGTGATATTTACTGCGAAATTTAAATGATACAATTCAATTTTCAAATTTCATGAACATATTTTTGTCTACAACCTTTTACACGAAAAATCGTCATTTTGAGCGAAAACGTTATTTCTGTTGAAAGTGATAAAAATTCTCATATCGTCAACTTTCGTTTCTAGTGACAAAAGTTGCATTTTTGTTACCTGTCAACAAAGATCAAATGTCGAAACTATTTTTGCGCCACAGAAAAGTATATTGTTATGTTATAAACGGTGTTGTGTAGAAAAAGTATAGTGGTATATGTTTGAAGCTCGTGCACATTGCTCATCATCTGTTCCTCGCTTGAAATGAATTTTCTTCCGTCATTCGTTGAACAATACACTCATATATTGCTAACAGATCATTTATTTTTAATTTCAACCAATTTCGTACAAAATTCAACTGGTCATACATCAATGTATGCGGAAAAAAATATCGAACAAAAAAACATATAGTGCCATTTAGAAATAAAAATTGACAGTCGCTTCAGCCGTTTTTTCCCAGTCATCTTGTATATACCACTATTTTCACTAGAAATGAAAACTGCATTGCGGTGAAACGGGGTTCTCAGGGGGTTTGAAAAAAAGAGATCGGTTCTGTTTGAAATACCCACACCAGGTTTAATTTTACGATCCCTATACGTCCACAGTGAATATAGCAAGATGAAGTTTATAGTGGCACTATGCAACTCTGCAAACTAATAAATGAATAAATGATAACTCCAGAACTGAGTCCGGCATAGAACAAACACATGCTTCATATTAAAAATTGTAAGACTAACTCACCTAATAAATATACAGGCAAAATTAACAAATACCGGGAGTCCGATAGTCTAATGAGGAATCACTCGCATTCACTAATTATGCAGAGAATTTGCAGTAATGATTAATAATTCGGTTCCTAATTTAGGACGTGCACTGATGGGCAACCAATTGTTGAAATAGCCGAACACTCGAAACACATTCTTCCAGAACAAGTCAAAGGTTTTTTCCAGATTTTTTACCAACCTGGTAGGTGCGCGAGAAACAGCGAAATTCAAAAATAGTAGTACCTGTCAACTTATTTGAGTTAAGCAACCAACCACGCATTTGGGTTTATAGTTTATGCAATGTCAGTTGGAAAAACACATCACCGCAAGCCGTCGGTCCCTTTGGAAGTTCAAAGAGTGCGGCAGCGCGAACCGACATTCGTTTGATGATCTGTGCAACTGATTTGCATAAACTATACCAAGGGTTGCCTATGCCTGGCAGATAATAAATAATATTTATACTCTCAACAGAAAAGGAAAAGAGATCGACGACTTTCTGCAATGAAAAGTAAAAAAGTAAAAAACAATTTACTAGGGAAATTGCAAAATATACCCGGTCGTCACGTAAACCATAATTATACGGTGGCTGAGGTGAGGGAAGGTTGACAATGGTGTCTTGCTATGGCATCATGAGAATAAGAGCAGAATCCTAATCGCAGTCGCCAAGGTCATAAGATGATGTTGCGATGACATTAAAAACTACGGGAAAACGTGTCTAATTTTGAAGCTATGCCAGGAGTTAGGATAGTTTCCCGTAGTCTTCGCAACATCATCTAATGACTTTGGCGACCACGAATCATGTTTCGGGCTTATACAGTGTGTCCCACTTACCATGCTCACCATGGGTATCTTTTTAACGGTGAGAGATACGAGGTCGGTTAAACGACACCAAATGTGGAGTTTGTCAAGGCCAACTATAATGTGAAAAAATATTTTGATAAAATCTATTCGTTTTTGTTTTATACGCAAAAAACAGATTTTGATCATTTTCATATGTCTCCTTTGTAACTTCTTTATTTATGAAAATATTCAAATAGGAATTTCACATTCTAATGGCAGTTTTTTGAAGTGATTTCGTAAAAAATATGAAATCTATACCAACTCTTCTAGAATTTGAGATATCAGCACCAACTTTGGTTTTTCAAATGTAGGTCATAGCTCACTATGACTTAGTTACAAATAACTTTTTTGTCTCTTAAAGATGATATGTCGCAGTAATAGTTTTGTGTTGATAACAACGGAGTTATCGTTTATGATGATCTCCGACCTCAAAAACCCCCACTTACCAATTTTGAATGGAATCGGACCATATCTTGTCCGCCATCTTGGAGCAGCCATTTTTTTATTTCAACAAAAATTCCATAACTCTGATTAACTTGAAATTTGGCAGGTGTTCATAATTTCGGTGACAATACATTATGGAATTTTTGTTCAAATTGAAAAAAATGGCTGCTCCAAGATGGCGGACAAAATTTGGTCCGATTCCATTCAAAATTGGTGAGTAGGGGTTTTTGAGGTTGGAGGTCATGATTTTCTTGTTGAAATTTATAAATTCAAGATGGCGGCTTCCAAATAATTTTTTGTTTTTGTATAAATGACTATAACTCCGTTGTTATCAACACAAAACTATTACTGCAATATATCATCTGTAAGAGAAAAAAAAGTTATTTGTAACTAAGTCATAGTGAGCAATGACCTACATTTGAAAAACTAAAGTTGGTGCTGATATCTCAAATTCTAGAACAGTTGGTATAAATATTCTTCTCGAAATCACTTAGAAAAGCTGCCATGAGAATGTGAAATTCCTATTTGAATATTTTCATGAATAAAGAAGTTATAAAGGAGATATGAAAATGATCAAAATCTGTTTTTGCGTACAAAACAAAAATGAATAGATTTTATGAACATATTTTTTCACATTATAGTTGGCCTTGACACACTCCACATTTGGTGTCATTCAACCAACCTCGTATCTCTCACCGTTAAAAAGATACCCATATGGTGAGCATGGTAAGTGGGACACACTGTATATAAAGTTATGGAAGTGAAAAAAGTTTAAATTCAAATAACGTGGCCAATAACAAAGCAAACAAAAGCCAAATGCTCCGTGATTCTATATGTAAAACATGTTTTTTTTCATAATGTATAATTATATAAAGTATAATTGTTTTAATGAAAATATACAATAACATTCTTTTGAAAATATGACATTCTGAAAAATCTAGTTTAAAATCTGAATTGAAACACTATTTCGCTGCGAATTAACGATTATATCCCCGAAAGAAACTACAACCTCTCAATGGATCCAATGTTATCTTAATATGTCGAAGCCCTGAGGGGGCAGAAGGACGATCTAGCCTTCATAGCCATCTAGTGGCTTAAGTGCAAGGTGTATAGGTAGATTCATCAATCATACCTTGCGACTAAGTATCCGTGCATATAGACCCCTATATGCTTACAGAAAAGACATCCATGTCAGATTCTATAGACTATCGCAACACCTGTAATTCTCAAAGTGGTTTAATGTTCCACTATCCATATCCATATTTTAATATGTTTGGACTTTGTATGTATATATATTCAAAGGCTTAATAATTTTTCCTTTTTTGTTAGTAACAGTTTTCATAATTTATGTTAGTATACTCAATTATTTTCTGTAAGTTTGATATTTTACGACTTTCTTTCCTAGCTATAAGAATCTTCTATTCTTCTTGGAATAAATGAAGTATTTTTCTCTCAAAACAAAAATTATCATTAAAGGGTAGGGTTCATATCTAATAAGGGCCCACGTGCCCTCAAATCACCAAAAAGGGGCAATTTTCCAGGAAAATACCAAATAAAAATGTACCATTAATGATCTCTGATCATTTTAATGAAAGTTGTGGAGATGACTTCGGGTTTTCCATCTATGAATTCTTTTTTGCTTAATTTTTTTTCGACATTATTAATGCTCATAGACAAACAAATATTTTCGCCATAAATGTCTTCGATGGAAATATGCGAACTTTAATTTTGCATCCTACAGAAATCGCTATACTCAAATTGGCTATATATTTTGCGCTCACAACGACTTCCTCCAAAGGGAATGCGATTTAGCGGGAATCGTGCTGAAATACATGCACAGGCAAAATTCACATAACCGGAAATCTAGCGACCCTCATAATTGATCGGGAGGGGCTCAGCATTCGGTCATTCGAGCCAACACTATATTCGCCTTACTCAGAAATACAATTATACAGTCTGTCCAAGATAAGGTTGAACAGCATGGGGATCTCGGAAACGGTAGGAGATACGAAGTCGCTTAAATGGGGAAAAAGTTGCGCATTCGGAGGCTCATATCAAGAGCCTTCGAAAATTTTGAAAATTATTTTTAGTTTTTGAGTTATATCGAAAAAAGTGAATTTTTGGAATTTCTATTTTATTTTTTTTTTCTCCGTTATTATCAGAGATACAGAAAAACTGAAAATACTTTTTCATTGCAACTTTTGATGAGGTTTAACGTGGTGATACCGATTTTGTTATGCGACGTTTCGTATTCGTGGAACCATCATCAACTTTTGTTTTTTAAATACGGTCCTGATAATTTTTTCAGATTCTGAAAGGTTTTTTTATTCTGAATTCAACAATGTACTATACAAGGTGATTCGAATGTGTTTCGACCTATTTCTATCCATCATCAATGTTTTTTCGAACTTCCAAAAGAAAAAAGTCATCAGTTCCACTTATTTCTTATCATTTAGTGTCAAACTTGATGGATTAGTTATTCAATAATGAAAAGTGAATAAAAAATATTTCACTACATCATTCGATCAATGCAGCGTTTAAAATTGTTGATGCATTCTAACACGAATTACTTTAACAACTTAACTTTGACAATTATTTTCTGAACAAAGATATCCTCTTCTCACAGTTGTTTCTAAGACATTGCTAAGCATTTCTGGGGTTATTCTATTGAATGCTTCGAAGACACTGTCCCTTAGTTCTTCTTCATCCTCAAAGTTATTTGCGTGTACAAAGTTCGATATATCCCCTAAGAAAAAATCCAGCTGTGTCAAATCAGGCGACCGCGCCGGCCAAGGGATAAAAACGCACGGACTTCTCTGGAATTATGTACCAGATCTTGTTGAAAGCAACAGTTCTGAACTTCCGCAATCGGTAAATCATCCAGAGCTTCCTCAAGATGATTCTCAAGCGAATTTCTATAACGTTCGGAAGTCTGTGTTTCATGGTAAATAGAAGGAACAATAATTCGTGTACCAAATATTGCAACCCACATATTGAAGCCGAAACGGTGTTGGTGTCTCGCTGTAATGTATAAATGTTCATTTTCTCGTGAACAATAATGTGTATTTTTTCTATCGAAGCTACCATGATTAGTGACCATGCTTTCATCAGTCCAGATGATTGTTCGAAAGAAATCTGCAAAATTTTAACATTTCCTGGTATACCACTCACAGAATGTCTTGCGCCTTTCGTCATCGCCTGGTTTTAGCTCTTGACATATTCTGAATTTGTATGGATGGAACTTTTGTTTCTGCAAAATGAAATGGGTTGTTGATTGAAACCAGTTGATGAGGTATTAGTGTGTTGACTAATTTTCCTTCAAAATAAGTGGAACTGATGGCATTTTTCCTTTGGAGTTTCGAAAAAACATTGATGATGGCCAAAAATAGGTCGAAACACAAATGAACCACCTTGTATAATACATGGTTGAATTCAGAATAAAAAAACCTTTTAGAATCTGTGAAAAAATTATCAGGACCGTATTTAAAAAACAAAAGTTGATGATGGTTCCACGAATACGAAACGTCGCATGAAAAAATCGTTATCACCACGTTGACCGTCATCAAAAGTTGCTATGGAAAAGTATTCTCAGTTTTGCTGTATCTCTAATAATATCGGAGAAAAAAAATAAAATAGAAATTCCAAAAATTCACTTTTCTCGATATAACTCAAAAACTAAAAATAATTTTCAAAATTTTCGAAGGCTCTTGATATGAGCCTCCGAATGCGCAACTTTTTCCCCATTTAACCGATTTCGTATCTCTTACCGTTTTCGAGATCCCCATGCTGTTTAACCTTATCTTGGACAGACTGTATATATTCAGCTAGCGTTGAGTGAAAAAAATGTCTTCCCCATCTGCCCTCTTCATAAACATGAAACAATGAAAATTTTATGTTGGCAACACTGGAAATGAAAGGAAATGGAGAAGAAGAACATTCTAACCTTTTTTATATTGAGGTTGACATGATCTTCTTCTTCATTCTTTCCCATTCCCGAATCGTGCTGAAATACATGCACAGACAAAATTCACATAATCGGAAATCTAGCGACCCTCATAAATGATCGGGAGGGACTCAGCATCGGTCATTCGAGCCAACACTATATTCGCCTCACTCAGAAATATAATTATATATATTCAGCTAGCGTTGAGTGAAAAAAATGTCTTCCCCATCTGCCCTTTTCATGAACATAAAACAATGAAAATTTTATGTTGGCAACACTGGAAATGAGAGGAAATGGAGAAGAAGAACATTCTAACCTTTTTATATTGAGGTTGATATGATCTTATTCTTCTTCATTTTTTTCCCATTATTTCCAATGTTACCAACTAAAAAATTTCCATTTTTTCACGTTGGAACATTGAAGACAAGGACTTATGGGAGAGACATTTTGTTCTCTCTCTGTTCTATTAGAAAACCAATAAATTGTCTATAAGAGAATGACGCTTACCGGCATAAGCCAAGCCGAGCCCCAAAATGGCGCCGACCTGCAGCACCTCGCTCTCCGCCGCCACATAGTCTCCGAGCAGCGCCAACGCCGGATCGCACTCGTTCCTCACCCTGCAATTCACTCAAATTTGTTTTGCTCAAACATACGTGAATTACACGTGTAGGCGATTCCTAAAGATCAATCAGAACGATCTAAAACGCGCCTGCTTGCTGACGAGTATTTTTCGTATCTTTTTCTTGCTTAGCAGCAATGAGTATGCAATTTGTGGTGAGCTCTTGGTATAGTGGGTCAACCGATTGCCACGCAGACGGCTCGGGTTCAATCCTGTCGAGATTATTTTTTTACAATTTCATCCTCAAGTAATATTCCGAAAAATAAACTTTATAGGATTTTTTTTTAGTTAGGTTAGATTGTTTGGAAAAAGAGTAGTATCCCTTCTTATGCGGAATAGTTATTATTGTATCAAGTGCGTAAAATTAGTATTTTATAATGATACATGACATGAATTTCATACACGACATTGTGAATATTTTGAAATTTTTCGATCCATGTTTCATTTTTATTTCATTTTATGTACTTCTTATAAACACTCTGAACAGGTAATCACATGCAAATAAAGAAGGGGTTATTGTGAACTTTTAAGTCACAAAAGAGCACAAATAGCGCTTTTTTGTAAAATGATTGTGGAGATGTAGACTGTATTTCCCCAGATTTCGATACCGTACGAGATTGTACTTTATATATACATTGATCAAAATTGGAATTATCATGTCTCAGAACTAACAGAGAAATTCAGAAGTACCTTTCCAAAAAATTCAGACTTTTGCGTAATATTATATTAGTACATCATTCGATATTTAATAACCTATCATACTCTCTTCCAATTTATATTATCGTACAGAATAATTGGATGCCATGGTATGTATGAAACTCATCTAAAACCTTTGTTATGTATATTCAAAAATATGTTTCGAAAATAATATTCTGTAGATCATTTGATTATCCATAAGCCTTATTGTTTTCAGAAAATAATATAATGAATGTTACTCTTTAGGGCATCAATAATCTTTATTAAAAAGAATCTGGAATAACTAATAAAATCAATCATAGTTATGATACAGGAGACGAAATCAACAATGTACACGACCTGAAAAACATAAGCTCAGAATTCATGAAAAACATTTTATCTTTATTGGAACTAAAATTCATAATAAAATACTATCAAAATCAATACGTCTGAATATCATAACTTTCAAACAAGAAGTTGAAAGTTGGCTTACAGAAAATGCAAAAAAAGTCGATGATCTTCTTCAATCAACTCTGTTTTTCTTCATTTTGATTTACTCTCATTATTGTGTGAATTGATTATTTGTTGTCAGTTTAAATATTTCTACTGCTGTGAAAAACAATGTTATACTCCTATGAAATAATTCATCTCTTTCACACACAGGTCATTAACCTATGTAAAGGAGATACAATATGAAATATATATACATGTTATTAATATTCAACGACAAATAATGTAGATTTCACTTGAATCAATAAAGGAATAAAATAAAAAATAATAATAAAATACACGTAGTATATACAGTCTTAATCAATGATTTGAATTCACCGCCATAGTCTAAATCGCTCTGATTGGTATATAGAAATCGCCTATACTTATGTTCGATGGTGCAAAACAAACTCCTACCTGCAATTCACGATGCCGAGCGCGAGCAGCGCCCCCGACTTGATGTAGTCGTCTGCCGAGTAGAGGTACTTGTCGATGGGCGTCAGGCCGCCGTCGACGTCCCACAGGTGGAGCAGCCCAAGGGCGGCGGTGGCGCTGAGCATGCCGTGCTCCTTGTTGCGGTAGATCCACTTGTTGCCGCCGTCCACCGTGAGGAGTTTGTCGCTGCCGAAGCCGGCATTCACGAAACCTGTGGATATTTTTCAGTGTCTATTGTGGGAATATTAGATCAGGAATTTGATATTTCTCAGTATATGTCTGTCACCTGCTTGTATTAGGGATGATGATATCCATGGATAATATAAAAACATGTTAATATTATGATTAATAAATTAAATGGATGAGAAACATATTGGAATTATTCCATAACTTGAATATAAAGTTGTTCCATTTATTACATTTCAAATAAGGAGATTGTAGATAGATAAGATGCGGTGGCCCTCGGCATGCTTGCATGTTGCTGTAGATCCACTTGTTGCCGCCGTCCACCGTGAGCAGTTTGTCGCTGCCGAAGCCGGCATTCACGAAACCTGTAGATTTTTATATATTTACTACATTCCAAATGAGATTGTAGGTAGAGAAGCCCAAGGGCAACGGTGGCGCTCGGCATGCCGTGCTATTTGTTGCGGTAGATCCATTTGTTGCCGCCGTCCATAGTGAGCAGTCTATCGTTGCTGAAGCCGATATTTACGAAACCTGTGGATTTTTTTCGGTCTTTACTACATTTGAAATAAGAATATTGTAGATGGAGACGCCCGAAGGCGGCGGTGGCCCTCGGCATGCTCGCATGTTGTGGTAGATCCACTTATTGCCGCCGTCCACCATAAGCAGTTTGTCGCTGCCAAAGCCGTCATTCACGAAACTTGTCGTTTTTCATGTTTTTACTACATTTTAAATGAGATTGTAGATAGAAAAGCCCGAGGGCAGCGGTGGCGCTTGGCATGCCGTGCTATTTGTTGCGGTAGATCCATTTGTTGCCGCCGTCCACCGTGAGTGTATCGCTGCAGAAGCCGGCATTCACGAAACCTGTGGTTTTTTTCTTCACTACATTTCAAATAAGACAATATTATGTATGGAACTCGGTATGGAAAGAAACACCTGGCATGAGACAATCGAAACTCTACTTCGAAGGCCCTTCTATCAGAAGAAGTGACACTTTGCTCACATTGAGCATGAAAGGAATCAGAATAGTGGTAGGGCTCCTCACGGAGCACTGCCATCTAAACAGGCACCTCAACATTATGAGTATTACTGATGATACTGAATGTAGATGGTGCCTGCAGGATGAGGAGTCAGCTACTCACATATATCCTCAGGGAATGCCTAGCTGTTGCAACAATACGGTAAGCGCATCTCAGGAACATCGTTTTGAACCCAGGGAATGTGCGAAGGGTATCGTTTAGAAGGGTTGCCTCTTTCGCTCGCGAAATCGGTTACTTTCATGACTGAACCGATTCCCAGCAGTCGGTGTATAACGGACCCGAATAGGAGGCGTACATGCTGTTGGACCCGTCTGTCCACAATGTCAAAGTCAAGTCAAGAAGATAGTAGGCGGAGAAGCGCGGGGGCGGCGGTGGCATGCTTCTTGTTACTGTAGATCCCCTTATTTTTATTTTTTTTATCGATTGGAGCAGTTTGTCGCTGTTCACGAAACCTGTGGATTCGTTTCCTATCTATACCTAGTTCATTCCCATTCTAAGAAGATAGCGTTGGAAACCATATAGGAAATCGTTGACCTTCGCTTTGATTGGTTAATATTGGAGACAATAATGCACCTGCCTAATATTATGACTTAGGACGTGGCGTGAAGGTTAAAGTTCTCTTTACGGAAAGATATTATAACGTTTCATTCAAATTGTCGTAAATTTTGGCTGTAACAATAAATATAGAGAATAAACTCGAATTCAAATTGAATCATTAGAATGGCCATGATTTTGAATTAACCACCATATATTTATTTCGTCAGTGGAACATTCCTTCAGAGGTAGCGCCACTTACTATCTTCTACTAATTTCGTAAAAGCAGGCACTGGCTATGATTGAATGTTGAAAATCAAGTTAGCAATGGATAATTAACTCGATGGTTGTCAATAAATAAATAAATGGAACATGGATGAAACATAAAAGTATATAACTTGCCATTAACTAGAGATGAAGCAAGGTTTTGTCGTGCACTGTCTAGATTTTCTCCAAGAATAATCAACCGAGGTGGGATAGGTTCCAACCATGATTTGTAAACATCTTGCGGTGATTTTGGTTCCATGATGTCTAACTATAAACATTATTTCATTATTGAATCGATTCGATCTAATTGGAATATTATTCAGTGACTCACCTCTCTTGCTAGTGTTAGAAAATATGTACTCAAATGGGAGTTGCTCAAAATATTTTCAATTTTTTCAGAATGTTCCATATCTTGGTCTAGCTTCACTGGAAAATTGTGGCGTGCGCAAATGAATGCCAACTGATATAAAGTGACTCTGTAAAAAAATAGTGTGTACATGATTAGTCGGTATTGCTATTTCGGAAAAATTAAACACAAATAAATTTACAAAAAATGCCATAAATTATCATTCAGAAATTGCTAACATGTATTTTGGTTGCTTTACCATCCTCGATCAGTAATTCTGAAAGGTGAATAACGCAACCAAAAACTTATCATGTGGACTCCAAATTCTAAAGAAATTTTGAAATTTCTAGAGAAAATACAGGCTTGACTTTTGGTGGTGTTAAAAAATTCAACTAGTGATTGTCATTGACAGCATTGGCCTCTGCCTTCGTCGTGAGTTCTTGTTTCCTGAGAAGAAATGGGAATTCTGGAAGAGAACGCAGTATGGAGAGTACTATCATCTGCGAAGCTATGGATAGGACAAGTAGTTATTCTCTTCAATAGATCATTGAATAGAAGTTAGGAACAATGTTGGTCCCAGAATTGATCCTTGCGGAACGCCAGAATTATGGCTATGATATCAGGCGATGCTCCTTCCACCACAACATGGAGCGATCTGCCTGAGAGAAAAGTCAATAAAAGAAGGCATAGCTGAGGTGCTAAGCCATATATGAGGGTAGTTTGTGAACGAGTCCTTGGTGCCCAACACGGTCGAAATTCCCCATGGTTTTCTAATGAAGCTTGCCATATTTGGGTAACGTAAGCAAGTAAATCCAGTCCAGTTGATCTTCGATGGCGAAAGCCTTATTGTCTATCATTGTTAATGATTCCTGAGCTTTTCAGATATTTGATGAGTTCTATGTTGATGGCTTTCTCCATCACTTTGGAAATAACTGATAACAGAGTGATAGGTCTATTGTTCTTGGGCAGGTTTTTGATTCCTTCTTCGGAGACTGGTTGTCTCTTTTCGACCCATGTTGAAGAGATATATGACTGTATTCTTTGTTGCATGGTACGTAATCTGTCACGTGGTTTTCAATCATTGTTGAAGACCCGGTATTTTCTAGCAAGATGGAAAGACACCCGACTTGTATGAGCAGTAGGTAAATAACTTGCGGAAAATTTGTGTCAATTCTGATGCACACTCTTTGATACTGATAGGTGGAGTTCCATCATCAAGACCATCAGCCATCGTTATGAGACCAAGCAAAATGCGTCTAATAGTGCGTTGACGGAATACGATTTCGTGCATTCGACTTTCAACGGAAGGTATTTGTGGCGGCACTCTTCTATGAGAATATAATAAGGTGTAGCATGAACATATGTTTTCGGCCGTTCCTCCTTCCACACAGCAGAAAAATCAACAGCTGACGAATTTTCCGTCATATTTTATCGTAAATTTGATGCATACTTTCACAATGGAATGTTTCTCACCTGTCTGTACAAACCGAAAAAATCCATAAACCATATCCGAATCGTTCATCTGGATTGCCGTTATCATTGCCCTGATGTGCTCCCCCAACATCAAATATTGTTCGCCCACCAGCCTCATTATCTTGACCCTTTCCACATCAACATACTCGGAGTAGGACAACAAAACTCAATGTTAAGGTTGACAACGTACACAACCAACAAATTTCCAGCATTTAATCAGCATCCTTTTGAAACATATGCAATGATTCGCATAAACGAATACTGATTTGAAGATATGTAGAACCAGCAACAGCTAAACATCTGCAGACCCGTTTCATTCTGTTGATAGTACTATAAGTGCAAGGCACTCATAGTAGAGGAAAAACATTCACTTTCCTGGTCTCTTCCCTGTGTAGTTTGAGTTACGTTAGGTTATTATGTGAGTGCTGTTTATACCGCCAAATCCATAATGAATTGTGAGGGTATTCAAATGGTATTTCTTAAAGTATCAAAGCATATTTGATCAAAAAATTGATTCATTGAATCCACGCATTTGTGTTCTTGCCTATTGCGAAGACTTGAAATTTCATTACGAAATGTTCCTCACCTGTCTGTACAAACCGAAAAAATCCTATCAACCATCTCCGAATCGTTCATCTGGATGGCCGTTATCATCGCCCTGGTGTGCTCCCCGAACCTTAAATACTGCTCGCCCACCAACCTCATGATTTTGGCCCTTTCCACATCATCAACATACTTGGAGCAGGACAGCAGATAGAGGCACATCCGCTGGTAGTTGGTCTTAGACACGTAGGCCGGCAACAGGTGCAGCAGGTCGACCTCCATCAGCAAATCGCACGCCTGGATTTCGGCGTGGTGGGTGCAATTGAAAGCGACGATGTCGTGGATGAGCGCGACTAGGGTGTCAGCGGCCTTTTCGCAGTTGAAGGACCACTGGAGGACGATTTCTTTTTCCAGCTGGCGGATGTACTCATGGCCCCAGTCGCCTATTTCGCTCATTGTCCCTGGAAAGTCGAACTGAAGTGGAGCAGCAAGAAAATCTTTCTTGATTGATTGATTGTCTTTATCACCCCAATAAGAAACATTAAATTGTTTATAATAGGGATATATACAACAAAACATACATAATAACAACTAGGAAAAAAGCTGTTACGAAACGGGGTTGATCTCAGGGGTTGAAATGAAAGTCCTGCTACGGGGTTCCGGTTCAAGAGTATTTTATTACAGGTGATGCGTTTGTGGAATATACAGGGTTGACCGTGGGGAAACTTATCTGGAATCTATAATGAATAATACCTATGTTATAGGACTACGACTTTTCCGAAATCACCTGCAAATCCGAATACTAGTTAATGAGGCTGTACAAAAATCACAAAACTCACCTATAATGAATACAGGCACAATCTCCAAATATCAGGAAACCTGGTATTTGCACTTCCTGACCAAAAGCACCCACTATATGACTCCGAAATAAATAGTTAATGGACCACACGATGATGGAGGTTCACTGATAGCGAATCATACCGGCGTTTCCAAAATTCGAGAACTTGAAAACTACTTTTTGCCACACTTTTTTGTGATATAGACGAGGTGCGCGAGATACCTATAATTATAGTCTCTCCCATATAGGGTATTTTCGAACCACTTAGGCAACCCGTAATTCATTTATTTGTACGCGGTGTGGTATACCACCAGGCGAAATTCCTTCCACACAATCATTATAAATCCAATCGGCACAAAGTTGAAAGTTCACTAGGTGTTAGGAATAAACAACAGCCATGGGCATGCTGGCGTTTAGAGCTTCGACCACAAAAACACCGTGTATATGAAAACTCCTAACGCGGGGACTCCAAAATACGAGGGTAAACGAAAAGTGATGGGACGAACACAAATATCGTACATACATTCAGGCCGTATACAAATTTGATGATTTCGTCGTAATGGAGAGGAAAAATGGTTCTGTTACAAAGCCAAATACTCAAAGTGGAATGCAATGGTCACAAAGAGAGAGAAATTCGAAGTCATTACCACACTAGTTCATAAAATGAACTAAAATTGTAGATAACGAGGAAAAACTACTTTCCTGGCTATATGCCACGCAGAACATTGGATTACATCCTCCCGGAATCTATGCAATAGTTCGTATAGACGAATAAAATCGCAAGTGTTTCCTTCCTAAACGCTGAGCTGCGATTAAGTGGATCAGGAACGCTGATTACCTGCAGACCGGTTTCGAGCTGTTGGCTCTCATCAGTACAGGGATGTCCCAGATAGCTTCTTGACCGCTATCTGGTGCGAACCTGAACCAACGTAAACGCATCTCATCATTTATACCATTGCATTCCACTTTGAGTATTTGGCTTTTTTCCTAGCTGAAAATAGTAGGTGGCTATGGAAAAAAGCGAGTGCATAAAATGTTTTTTTATCCTCTCGAATCCACTTTATGAAAACTACAAAACATTAGATATATATGGTTAATGGGATATGAGATGGTTTCTAAATGTTCGAATCGTAATGTTGATATCCTGGATGATCATTTGCCATCGTATGAAAATTTTACAAATTCGACGGGTAGGCGACAAAGATTATAAAACATTCTGTACTCGCTTTTTCTCATACTCATCTATACTAATTAGGTCCAAAGCGTTCAGTCAATAAATAGTGGTGAATTTGGGATCACACGTTAAAAGATAAGCCCAACATAAGCCCCCGTTATTCCCTTCTCGCACATGACTTCTGAGGGTTGTTTGTAAGGAGACAACCAAATGACGGATAAAACAATTTTCAAACAACAACAATTTTATGCAATCTAAAGTTTGGAGTTCTAACAATGAGAAATAATATTATTACGGCTGTTTTCATGTGAAGAAATAGCACTGTTGACGATCTCGATCGAAGAGCGCGATAAAAATACTGTTATAATACCTATAAACCATTAGTGAAATTGTTTCAATCACCTAACTAACTGAATTTGTTCAGTATGGTTGTGAAATATTTCAGTCAGTTCAGAATGAAAGAATATAACTAATATTAAGTAACAATAAAGTTCACAATGCTGGACACTTTGACTCTATACGCCAGTGGCGCCAGAGTATTCGCATTTTCGCAACTATACCTATATGAGACGTAAACAAAACAATTGATGATTGTGTGTAATGTTCATTGTTTTCTACCGTCATCGGTGTGTTCCATTCGTTTTTAGGATTTGTGAGATAATGATTAATGATATGGATAACACACCCAAAACAATTCGCAATAGAAAATAACACGTCGCTCTACCTACGAACACTTCTGAGTGGTTTGTTTTGATAATGTGAGATGTGACCAATAAGCACAAACGAAAAACAAATGTGAACCAATGAAAACAAAGTTAACAGACCGCTTTGACAGCATTCAAGAAATCCGATAGGTGGTGTACGCATATATACTTTCTATCGTGGATGATGATTATGCATTTGATACATCCAATACCGGTTAGTTACTCATTAGGTAGGTCCACAATTTCATCACCAGGTGGCGTCTAGAGTTTTGTATTCGCGAATATAACTATATTTTGTAAATATACCTTGCAGACAATATATTAGGCAATCACGATTTTTCTTCGCTGCTTCTCCTCCTGCAGTTCCCATAGCTAATAATGAAATCACATCAGCAAGACTTTTCTTCATTTGTCCATTACCCATCTTCTGATGAGTTGATTTCAAATCATCATAATAAATAGCTAGATATTTCAGAGGTTTTGGTACAGAAGTCATTGAAGTCGTTGAGGTACGGACCAAATATTTCATCATATCTAATGCTGGTTGTATCAATGATTGATCATTTCCCTAAAAATGGTTGAATATATGGAAGGGTTGTATTTCATAGAATAATTTTAATTTTTACAGTTATTTTGTTGACTAGAAGTTTCAGCTCAACTTGAAGTTCCTTGTCTTCTTCAGTCTACAATAATAAAAGGATTGAAGAACAGGAAAAGTAGGTAATATATGGAGATATAAATAAAAAGTTATATGTCCATTTATATTCGATATTCACCTCTTCATCTTTTTTTGCTTCTTTGCGTGGAGCAACTATTGCACTCATTGGAGTACTGGATGAAAACTATCGAAGATGACCAGATACCAGATTGTGATTTAGGAATCCTATGGGATGACATGCATATTTCAATAATGATTCGAATCTATTTGAAACTGTACTGTACATACTTCATTTCTTTGTTGTGGTATCACAAAAGTTACATACCTAATTTCTCGATACTTATGCAGTAAGATTCAAATCTTGAGTATTATTTTCGATAAAAGATCTTCGAATTTCTCAATTTTTAAACGTGCCACAATTTTCGAACAAGAAGAACCGTCAACGTCACACATTCACAGAACAGGAAATAACAGCCTTGGGGAAAAACTACATCTGTGTTTTTTTCATTATGGAATCGACTCTGCTTGTCGCAGTGGGCCACAATCCCACATGTCCTCGGTGTCACTGACAATGGACGTAATTATAACTGATGTAGAGTAAAGAGAGAAGAGATGTCATATTTTAAGCCTTTGAGGTTAAGTTGAATGATTTTTTTTCATGATGATTTTGATCTGTTATTTGATTTTCTGATGTTCAAAGCAAGTTTCAAATATTACAAATCAAAAAGTCCTCCACCATGCTTGAAAGAAGTCTTGGACATAGACCAGACGAAAGAATTATTGGAGAAATCAGTCCTGAAACAAATACACATTATTTGTCAAGACAAACTTTGGAAAACATTTGGCATGAAATCACCTGAAAATTGGGAAGTATTTGAACTCATAGATCATCCTGGCTTGATATACATCAAGAACCCATATACAAACAGTGGACAAAAATACTGGGTTATTCGAAGTTTGAGAGATTTTTCTAAAACTCCAAATAAAAGGAACATAGATGCTCTTGGTATAGTATCTGAAAATTGGTGGGAATCTGCAAAGAATGACAAGAAAACCTTGATGATGCTGAGGTGGACTACCCTTGGCTATCATCACAATTGGGATACAAAAATATACAGTGAGGACAATAAAGGAAAATTTCCTGAGGACTTGAAAAATATGACCAAGTTCATAGCTGGTTTATTAGGTTTTGAAGATTTCAGTGCTGAAGCTGCCATTGTGAATTATTACCACATGGATTCCACACTTTCTGGTCATAGTGATCAATCTGAACAGTATCTAGAAGCCCCTTTATTTTCATTCAGTTTTGGACAAAGTGCCATCTTTCTGCTTGGTGGTATCACTGAAGAAGAAAAACCAACAGCAATGTTTCTGAAAAGTGGGGACATTATAGTTATGAGTGGAAAATCAAGATTATCTTACCATGGAGTTCCTAAAATTGTTCAAACAGAATTAAAGCTAGGTGATGAAATAGGAGATGAAAATTGTAATCAAAATGCCTTATGCATGGATGAGGATAATTGGAAACCATTTAGTGATTATATTGCTCATTCAAGAATAAATGTAAATGTCAGACAAGTATTAAGAAAGGGATTGTTGAAGTTGGATGATCAAATCTGAATAGAGGCTGATTTGATCTAATATCTTTTTGCAGAGGAAAACTATAAATCTTTTAAACATGATCATCTTTTCAAGTATTATGTTGAATTAATTAGTTGAGAATGTTAAGATGCAATCATAAAGCTTGACAAAAAGCAGGAATGTGGTACCTATTTTTGTATTATAAGTAGACTTGTATTCCATTCAGTTTGATACTTCAATCAGTAAATCCAATCATTGTATCAACTCTAGAATACAAAATATTGACAGGATGATAAAAATGACTCTTAATCATCTGAAAATCACTCATGGAATTTTAATCAGATGAAAATTACCCATAATCATCTGAAAATCATACTCATGGAATTTTATTCAGTCATTCAATATTTTTCAAACCAAATTGAAATATTTTTTATTCATATTTTCATATGTCTAAACCATGGATGAAAAATTTGGGACAGATCAATTAGAATGAAATATATAGGGTTGTTCAGAAAAAACTGGTATTTTGTTCAGCCACCCAAACATGAGGTCAGGATTGATGGGTAGAACCGGTAGAACTGATGAATATACTTCTTAATTTCATATTATTTGGCCTTTTGCTATGATATCTTCTTCTCCGTCAATGTAAGAATTGGTCATGAAGTTCCATATTGAGAGTAAAAAAACATGGCTCACGTCTTTCCATAACTTGAGGTTTTTTATTTTTGTACAAATGTTCCTTATTTTGTTTCCAATATTTTCAATGAAACAGGCTTTTAGAGCTATCTGGCAAAATTTTGGGATTTTTGACTTTGGCCTCATGTTTTAGTAGCGCCAACTGATGAAAGTGAAAATGTTAGCCCTCATTGGAGAGTATAGTAATTTTTTTTTATACATCATCTTCCTTTCATCATGTATGGAAGTGGAGGAGAGGGGAAATGAGATGTGGCAGTTGAAGACATGGTGAAAATGTGTCCCACAACTCCCACAGTTTCAAAATCTTTCTTGAGCAATCTCCTGGAAGCCTGTTCTTTTTGTTGGTTCACACTACATTTTTATTGATCTGTAATTTCACAGTCATTAATGTTTTCACCAAGAAGTCGACACATTGTAGTTCCAATTAACCATTTATGCATCCAAATTATTTTGTATCCATCATCAACTAGTCTATGAAAGATGATCAACTTTCATTTATAACATGAAAACAAATAATACATACAGGGTGTCCCATTGGGAAACGGAAAAACTAGCTAGGAAAAACAGTGGGTAGAGCTCATCAAGGTGGTTCTGAATATACCATATTTGTAGGGTCTCGCAAGTTTTATATCCAAGATATAGGGTGTTTCATAAATTTCGTTCAATTCTTTGTGAGGACATAACTTACAAACCACCCAGTATATTCATTTGGAATTTGGTACACGATTTCGCCGTCTTCTACCAAAGCGACTCACCTATCAGTCACGAGAAAAATCCAGGACCGGATCAACGAAAATCGATCATTTATCTGGAACCCAAAAATATCACCCTATATTTTCGAATTTCCATAATCTGCTCACATATTTGGAAAGTGCATGAAAATCTGAATCGTATGATGTACCTTCCATTTTTCCGCATGCTATTTCACTAGGTTATTTCTGATTTTGAATATGGGGTTTCAAGCATTTGGATAGGTAAAAATGAAATGTTTTGAGTTTTCCCAATCGAATCACAAAAACTATCACGAATCACCCAGTATATTCTTTTGGAATTTGGTACACAAGTCCTCCTTCTTCTACCCCAGCGACTCACCTATCAGTCACGATGAGAATCCAGGTCCGGATTAACGAAAAATTATGATCTGCTGGGCCCGAAAAAGAACACCCAGTATTTTCGAATTTCCAAAATCCGATTCCATATTTGGAAAGTTCACAAAGAGATGAATCGAATAGTGTACTTTTCAATATCCCGCATGCTCTTTCACTAATTAATTTCTTATTTTGAAAACTCAAAACTTTCCATCTCACCTCGATTTCTACCTATCCAAATGCATAAAACCTCAAATTCAAAATCAGAAATTCAGTAGTGAAATAGCATTCGTATGAAAACAAAAAGTAGACAATCCGATTCAGCTTTTTGTGCAATTTTCAAATATGTATGCATATTATGGAAATTTGAGAATACAAGGTGTTCTTTTTGGGGCCCAGTAATATAATCAATTTTAGTTCATTCGGACCTGGATTTTTCTCGTGAATGATAGGTGAGGGGCTTGGGTAGATCAAGAACTCGTGTACCAAATTCCAAAAAAATATACTGGGTGGTTAATTGCATGGGGGAAATGAAAAGTACATCATTCGGTTCAGCTTTTTGTGCACTTTCCAAATATGTAAGCGGATTTTGAGAATTCGAAAATACAGGGTGTTCTTTTTGGGGTCCAGAAATATGATCGATTTTCGTTAATCCGGACCTGGATTTTTCTCGTGGATGATAGGTGAGGCGCTTGGGTAGAAGAAGGAGAACTCGTGTACCAAAGTCCAAAAGAATATACTGGGTGGTTCGTGATAATTGTTATTCGATTGGGAAAACTCAAAACATATTATTTTTACCTATCCAAATGCATGAAAGCTCGAATTCAAAATCAGAAATTCCTTTGTGAAATTGCATGTGGGAAAATGAGAAGTACATCATTCGGTTCAGCTTTTTGTGCACTTTCCAAATATGTAAGCGGATTTTGAGAATTCAAAAATACAGGGTGTACTTTTTGAGGTCCAGAAATATGATCAATTTTCGTTAATCCGGACCTGGATTTTTCTCGTGGATGATAAGTGAGGCGCTTGGGTAGAATAAGGAGAACTCGTGTACCAAAGTCCAAAAGAATATACTGGGTGGTTCGAGATAATTGTTGTTATTCGATTGGGAAAACTCAAAACATATTATTTTTACCTATCCAAATGCATAAAACCTCGAATTCAAAATCAGAAATTCCTTAGTGAAATTGCATGCGGGAAAATGACAAGTATACCATTCGGTTCAGCTTTTTGTGCACTTTCCAAATACAGTGTCATTCATAAAGTCGGCATCATATGGGAAATTCTAGTTGGACGTTGAGTTTTGCTTCAAAAAAGATGAAAAATGGTCTACTCAATCGGGATGACGTGACTTTCGCTACATGTCAAAAGTGACATTTTTTCAAATTAATCGCTGAAAGTAGGCTTATTTGTTCGAATATCGAAAAAGTTGTTTCTATTTAAATTTTACATATTATTATGTGACTCGGATTTTATCTTTCTATTACATTTTTTAGATTTCGATTTTCAAAAAATTTTCGAAATTTCTGTAATATTAAAAAAATTGTAAATTCGATAAAACTACTTCATACCAGTATTTTCATCATGCTACTAACTTCGAATTACTAATTATCGACAAAAATATGATTTTCTTCAGAAAATGATAATCTCCGCTTCAAAATTCTGTTATGTTTGATGCAAACATAACATCAAAATTCTGTTATGTTTGAGTCGAGCATTTAGAAACGAAATTCATTTAAATTTATTTTTTCAGTACTGAAAAGATCAGATTAAATGAATTTTGTTTCTAAATGCTTGACGATATATCAACCCTGCATCCAACATAACAGAATTTGGAAGCGGGTATTATCATTTTCTGAAGAAAATCATATTTCTGTCCATAATCAGTGATAATAAGTAATTGAAAGTAAGTAGCATGAAAAATCTACAGGTATGAAGTAATTTAGTGGAATTAACAATTCTCCAAATATCACAGAAATTTCGAAAAATTAAAAAAAAAAGCAAAATATTAAAATTGCAATAGAATGATCAGATTCGAGAAGCATGTGTAAAATTGAAATAGAAACAACTTTTTCAAGTAAACTTTTTCGATATTGGAACAAATAAGCCTACTTTCAGCGATTAATTTGAAAAAATGTCACTTTTGACATGTAGCGAAAGTCACGTGACCCTGATTGAGTAGGCCATTTCTCATCTTTTTTGAAGCAGAACTTAACGTTCAACTCGAATTCCAAAATAAGTCATTAATAATAGTTTTTTCCATATGATGCCGACTTTATGAATGACACTGTATGTAAGTTTGTTGATCCGGACCTGGATTTTTTTCGTGACTGATAGGTGAGTCGCTTTGGTAGAAAAAGAAGGAATTGTGTACGAAATTGCAAAAGAATATACTAAGTGGTTCGTAAGTTATGTCCTCACAAAGAATTGGGCAAAATTGATAAAACACCCTATATCTCGGATATAAAACTTGTGAGACCCCACAAATATGGTATATTCAGAACCACCTTGATGAGCTCTACCCACCGTTGAAGTTTTTCCGTTTCCCAATGGGACACCCTGTATAAAAGTGAGACATGCTAGGCATGATTCTGTCAGAAGTGAGTCAACCAATTCCTTCTTTAATGTTTCAAAATGTGATTAAAACTTCTGTTGATCAATTGATGCGACAAAGAAGAGAGAAACAATATTAGTCTTTTCCTTTTTCATTAAATGACAGTTAATGAAAGCAACAACATTAATGAAAACTCAAATTTCATATTTTCTCTAAGATAGATACATTATGGATGTGACTAAAACACATGTTTTGAGATATCATATTTTTATTCAGTAAAAGGTTAACGAGAAATTAAATACAAGGCGATTAATTTTTTGAAAACTTACCAAGAAACACCTTTATATACATAAAAAAACTTTAACAACAATATCGACAAAATAAAATCAGCTGTTGCTACATTTTTCAGGCGTGCGTAAATTCTACTTGGAATTATTAATATCAATGTTTCCACTGACAAATACTGGGCATTTTCAAAATAATTTGCAACAATATCATGGTTTTTTAGGTGTCTAAATGAACAAGATTACCCAAAATCCTTATTCATTGGGAATTAAAACGAATACCCCTGTCTATTCATATGATTCTACAAATTATTCTAAATATTATTTTTCAACTTGATTATACAGATCTAATTCTAAAAATTCCAGCTATGAACACAAAATGAATGTCGATTTATAATAAGAAAACACAATTTTCATTCATGCAGGATTTTTTTTCTTCTAAACTGGACTGATGATAGAATGTCTACGATTGCATAGCTATCAATGTTTTATTTCAAAACCATAAACGACATTCAAGCTGCAAAATTTTATATATTTATTTCACAAAGTAGGTACCATTTTGATAATAAATATTTTTATTAGTATAATACATCAACCAGAAATGATTTGTCAGGAAATATCTACTTAAACTGAAACTCTTATGGATTTCTTATCTATTCTTATAATGTTGCATGTTACATCATAAAGCATCTACATATTTACTAATAAAAATTCCACTCTAAAAATTTCACTGGAATATCACAAGGAAACGTAAAAATTGTACAAATACCGTATTTAGTTGCTAAAAATCGTATTCAACAAAGTAAAACTAGTCGTGAAATTCCTAGAGTGGCAAATTAAAAGTAACAAAAAATATAAGTTATATTTCTTTTAAATAATCTAGTTAAAACAGATCGGAATGTACTCGGCTGGGCACTTCAAAATAAATAGTTTTCGCAAGAAAGGCTATCCGTAACCTTAGCAGCCAAGCACAATAAGCAATATGTTCGACGTAAAATAATGTTTAACCATACACGCCAAATTGATTGCAGAAAGGGCCACTGAATCCTTCTATTTTCTAGTACATTCAGAACGCTCTGTTCCGACACGCATGGAATAATTATTTTTATTGAGCCACACCTCAAGTCTCGCCTAACGGCATTCCCATACTTTGACCGTCTGGTCCACGCTTCCAGAGATAACATAGGGATGCGACTTGTGGAAATCTATAAAGAGAACAGGAATGTAACAATATTATCATAGTCGGGAAGTCGAGTGCTGAAAAAAACAATGGGCTGGTGCAGGGCCTACCCTATCTCACCGGGCCGGAGCATCGCTTTTGTGACGTCACACTAGGGACAAAATCGAGGCGCTGGAAATTGCCTTTTCCAATATTTCAATGATAATCTAATATTAAATAAGATGAATTGATTTGAAATATTTTCAAAATAAATTAAATTAAAAGGAACAAAAAATATGTACTGTCTGTAGGTATACTTTGACCGTCTGGTCCACGCTTCCAGAGATAACATAGGGATGCGACTTGTGGAAATCTATAAAGAGAACAGGAATGTAACAATATTATCATAGTCGAGAAGTGGAGTGCTGAAAAAAACAATGGGCTGGTGCAGGGCCTACCCTATCTCACCGGGCCGGAGCATCGCATTTGTGACGTCACACTAGGGACAAAATCGAGGCGCTGGAAATTGCCTTTTCCAATATTTCAATAATAATCTAATATTAAATAAGATGAATTGATTCGAAATATTTTCAAAATAAATTAAATTAAAAGGAACAAAAAATATGTACTGTCTGTAGGTTAATCTAGGAGGTGGTACATTCATTATTCCAAATTTTTTGGGATTTTCTCGTCGTTTCTATAAAATAAAAATATGAATATTATTTCAATATTGAAATAATAAAAAATATGTAGTTTTCATAAACACAATACTGAATGCAAATAATTCTGAAAATATTCAACATAATGAGAGAGAAAAAATACCCAGATATTACAAAATAAAATGTTCCCATAACAATATACAGGGTGTCCGCTAAAAGGAGGTCAATCCATTAACCATATATTCCTTGAACAAAAATAATATGAGTTTCTAAATACCATTTTTCATTTTAGCCCTTCTTATTCGATATACAGGGTGTCAAAGTTGAAAATTAAAAACTGTTTTTTTCTAATTACTCGCGTAATTAATGAGATATTAATCTCAAAATAGGTACATTACTTCAGCACAAAGAGTTACATCGTTTGAGGAAAACAAAACAGAAAATAACTGTCAAATATTCAAAATACTGGGGGTCAAGTACACACTTACCCCCATATTTTTTTTGTACGTGCGCTAATGACTTCCTATCTATTTTTCTTCATGTGTTCAATCATTTTTGAGTATTTTTTTATTTTTGTAAAATTCCGATAAAATTATTTGTTTTTAAGATAATTCGAAAAGTACTGGTTATTGTTTGATGCCTTGCGGCTTACGGTAATCTCATAATGTTCACATACTCCTATTTATTTCGTCGAAATTGGAAGAGGGCGTATCTTATTACGTACGGAAAGGTGAATATGGAAATACCGGGTGCTCAGAGCGAATGTATTAAAATAATTTTTACACTTTTAAATTTTTTTTTTTTGGAAAAATTATTTTAGTACATTTGCTCCGAGCACCCGGTATTTCCATATTTACCTTTTCGTACGTAAAAAGATACGCCCTTTTTCAATTTCGACGAAATAAATAGGAGTATGTGAACATTATGAGATTACCTAAGCCGCATAGGCATCAAACAATAACCAGTACTTTTCGAATTATCTTAAAAACAAATGATTCAATCGAAATTTTACAGGGAACAAAAAATACTCAAAAATGATTGAACACTTGAAGGAAAATAGATAGGAAGTCATTAGCGCACGTACAAACAAAATATGGGGGTAAGTGTGAACTTGACCCCCAGTATCTTGAATATTTGACAGTTATTTTCTGTTTTGTTTTCCTCACACGATGTAACTCTTTGTGCTAAAGTAATGTACCAATTTTGAGATTAATATCTTATCAAATACGCGAGTAATTAGAAAAAAACAGTTTTTCATTTTCCAACTTTGACACCCTGTATACCGAATATGAAGGGCTAAAATGAAAAATGATATTTAGAAACTCATATTGTTTTTGTTCAAGGAATATGTGGTTAATGGATTGACCTCCTTTTAGCGGACACCCTGTATATATATCACAAACTGAAAAATGGGCTCATAGCTTCATATTCATCGGGAAAGTCTGATGATTTTTCTTTTCTTATTATTTGACTAGATCCTGCTACATTTCATTTATAATACCTAATTATTCAACACAATATTCAATATAGTCTTCCTTCCTTTGATTATCAATGGGTGTTCAAGTAATCGGCTAAGTTTGAAGATGAATCACAATAATATTTATTGAAACAAACATTCAGAATGTAATCTCCAAATTAGCAACAACTGAATGGAACATTCAAAAACTCTCTTGTTTCTTTTTCAAGATTCATTGCAAGTTCTCGAAACATAATAAAAGTTCTCCAGTTATTACTATTACACACCAAGTGTTCCGAAAAAGTGAGAAACTGACAACCGACACAACCTACTAACTTACATATCATATTCCAACAAACCGAAAATATCATTCAATTTGCTCGCCTGAAAACGCTTCTGTGCAAAAGCGCAATGGACGGGAATTCATGACATTGACTTATTACACTTGCTGATGGAAACATGAGTAAGAGATATGACAGGTCCTGAATGCGCATGATCCAGTTCGATCACGTGAATGAATGCTTTTGTCTCATGATAATAGCCACGATCTATATTTCAACGCTGAGAAACCCCAAGTCATTCGTTTTCATAACTATAAACAGCCATCAGTTGAATTACAACTGGATTTCAATAAAACAGTCTCTTCCCATACAGATACAGTTAAATTCCTTGGAATTTACTTTGATAAACATGTCAAGTGGCTGTCACATTGTGAGGGTCTAATTTCAAAATTACACTCATCCTATTACATGTTCAAGAACTTAAAAACAGTACTAGATGTTGGCCAGCTTGTAAATATCTATTATGCACAAAATGAATCGCGTCTTCGTTATGACATCTGCTTGTGGAGCATCTCTACCAAGTCAAAAGAGAAATGTTTTCATTGCACAAAAGGCAATTATAAGGTGCATTTTCAACATTCCTCGTAGAGAAACATGCAAACTAATTTTTCAATCTAGTACCATTTTGACTTTCGCTAGTTTATACATATTTGAGATTTCATGTGATATTTATTGCAACATAACCTATTTCAAGCTCAATAAAGACATTCATAACATGAATACACACCAGAAAGGCTTAATTCACACACAAATTGAAAAATACAGAATTATAGGACCACATATTATTTTCAATCATTTATCTGAGCCTAAATCAAGTTTGACACTTAAAATTTTCAAAACGCGCCTCCAAACATTTTTGGTGCATAATTGTTTTTATACTGTGCAAGATTTCTTGGATTGTCCGGTACAGTGAAATTTTTTTGTATTGTATTTCGTTTCTGTGTATCTATATGTATTGTGGGTTTTATGTATTTTCAAGAATTTTGACGTTTCCCACACAATGTTATTATTGTCTAAAGGAATAAAGATTTGATTGATTGATTGGCAATAACGGTCTATCTAGTCTAGATACTTATCAGGGCAGTCGATCCAAATGAAGGAATCATAATTTCAAAAACCTGATTCTATCAGCACCAAACTGAACAGAAGATTCTACCAAATTTAATTTTTCAAAACCTGCAATCATGCAATCTTCTTACTGCTGCTGTCAAATATATGTGAATCTCTTTCCTAGGATGTGTTTCATCATAACACAGTGAGAATGATGGGTAAGACACTTAACCAGAGTATTGCCTGTCTTTTTCAAATTTGCAGATATGTATAAAAAGCAATGACTTTGAAACATTTGTCACTACATCCTGTAGGAGAAAGAAGGATCAGCTAATTTTACTAGCAGAAGATATGACGTATGATAGTGGAACATACAGTCTAGAGCGTTTTGTTGTTTCATACAGAAACTATTTTATCATCATTAGGTAACTTTATGGTCGCTGTACAGGGTAATTCGCCATAAATGCCCCCCCCCCCTCTTTTGAACCGATTACATGATTTGAAGAATTATTAAAAATGATTTTTGATGAAAAAAATATCCGCTAAATCAGAAAATACAGGGAGCTCGGAACAAACGATCTAGGACCTACAGAGTACTAGTTGATTTTATCAAATGGAACACCCTGTATTTCATCGCATTTTTAGGTTCTCCCTGAAGAGCTGATTTCATCAATATATCACACTTGGGGTCTAGCAGGAACGATTACAGAGTTATAAGATGTTCAGCATCGAGATTTTCCAACTTTAGATTTTTGTGTGGAAACTATTCATTATTGGTCAAAACGAATTTCATGTCGGCTCCATCTGAGGCTTCATCTTAACTTTTGATTCACCATCGACCGACATTTAATAATTGGAACAGATACAGGTTGAACAGAATTCTGAATCTTGAATCACCCAGTATTGTTCCAATTCAATGTCAGAAGATAGTAAATCAAAAGTCAAGATAGGGACATGTGACCAATATGAATATTTTAGACACAAAAAAATCCTAGTTGAAAAATCTCGATTTTGAACACCCTATATCTCTGTAATCATTCCCGAAGTGTGATATATTGATGAAATCAGCTCTTCAAGAATAATCTGAAAATACAATGAAATACAAGGTCTCATTTGAAAAAATCAACTAGTACCCACCCTGTAGATCGTTGTTCCGAGCACCCTGTATTTTCTGATGTAGCGGAAAACAAATTTCTGAAAAATCATTTCAGATGAATTTCAAAATCTTGACATCGGTAAAAAATCAGTGAGCTATAGGGGGAGGACATTCATGGTGAATCACCCTTTGTACAAACTGAATATTACATAAATCATTCCTCAACACAAAGACTCACCTAATGATGTGCAGAAGTGTTTGTGGGCATCCAGAGTTTTTGTACAGCGCTTGTTTCTCAAATCCCACACCCTCAATGTCTTGTCATCGCTAGCCGATACCAAGAACTTTCCCCCAGGGTGGAATACCACTCCTCTCACCCAATTATCGTGCCCTGTAAGAACGAATAGGGCCACGCCTGCTCCCACATCCCATATCCTGAAAAAAATATGAGAAAAATTTGATACCTAATGGTAATCACGAGTAGGGTCCCTTGATGCAAACAGACGTATTTGTCATCTAACAGGACACGGACTGAACATATGTCCTTTCTCCATATGAAGAGATCCCACAACATTTTAATTTCATACTTGATCTTAATACGACATTATTCAATTCAGTTTTGGAAGGATGGTAAAATGTGCTGTTTTAGGCTGTATCAATCAGTAAACAATCTGACCTAACTCGGCCTATTATATTATTATTATCCAAGGAGAGTTCTGATGATGGCTCCCCCATCATCAAACCTATGCTGAAAAAAGTGGACAGGGTGATGAAGGAAAAATCGGCATACGCGAATGTTCCACCAAAACATACCACAAGAAATATGAGGTATAAATAATGTTGGTCATTTTATCGAATTTTTTATATTTATATTGTATAATACACACACTGGCACAATTAGGGGAACGGGTGAAATTTACACTAAGTTTGACATAAATTTTCTCTCGAACCGATCACTCGATTCAAATTTGTTTTTCACGAATTGTAGCTTCATTCTTCACGAATACATCTGAGAAATAACCACCTCCATACGATTCGTCTTAATATCATATACAGGGGTGTAAAGAAAGTACGGATTTTTCGGTATTCTTTAAGACATCCTGTGGAGTGAACCACTGATAATTGAAACGATTTCTCAACACCAAATTGGAGCCCAATCTATTCCGAATATTTACGTTCTTTATTCATCTTGATATCTCAATTATTCAAGAAAATATAGAGTTTCAAAGAAGAGGTGGATATTGGTATTAATTTTACCACCTCGAAACTCGAACTGGGGAGAACGTGTCGTTTTTCAACTTGTTTCTATGAGAAACTTCAAGATGAGAATTGTTCACAGTTTTACCTATTGGTTTACTGTTTAAAGACACATATACGAATACTCTATATGCAGGGGTGATAAAAGTTGCTCCAATGTTCTTTTGGTGAAATGCTATTTTTGTTAATCAACGTTGGCTATTTCGTTAATGTCATCAATTAAATTTGATTAAATGAAAATTCAACGTGAGAGATTTGACTCCTACTGATGTGGCGAGGCCTGTAGCATTAATTGAAGATGACCAGTGGGCCAATGTTCTTTTAACATATGAGAGCCGCATCTGCACCAATCCAATAGATGGCAGGGAAAGACTATATCGCCGAGGTGAACAAAATAAACAATTTGATTTTACTGTTTCTGTCTCCTATGGCAGAGGTTTAGTCATGGTTAGGTTAGGTTAGTCAAGAAACGACACATTTTCAGATCCAATTTGAGTTTTGAGGTGTAAAATTGATACCAATATCCACCTTTCCTTTGAAACTCTGTATTTTCTTGAATAATTGAGATATCAAGATGAATAAAGAACGTAAATATTCGGAATAGATTGGGTTCCAATTTGGTGTTGAGAAATCGTTTCAATTATCAGTGGTTCAGTCCACAGGGTGTCTAAAAAAATACCGAAAAATCCGTACTTTCTTTACACCCCTGTATATGATGGAAATACTTATGTTTTGAAGTTAATTATTTCTCAGATGTATTCGTAAAGAATGAAGCTACATTTCGTGAAGAAAAAAATTTGAATCGAGCGATCGGTTCGCAAGAAAATTGATGTCAAACTTGTGTAAATTTTGCCCGTTCCCCTAATTGTGCCAGTGTGTGTAGAAGATTTATTTAACCATCAATCAGTTGGATGACAAATTTGAATTTGTCAGCTTTCCATCAAATGCAAATGAACTTAGAACATGGAAAGTGAAGTGATCGAATGGGGAAAATTGGTAAATACATCAGCAAAATATTATTATAAATAAATATCATCACATATTATACCTTCTCATTGTGCCTATAATTATCCACTCCACAAGTTCTTGAATGCATTAGTAAAAACAGTTTTGATTAAAACGGAGGATTAAAAGAAGAGGCATATGCCCTACCATTTTAAAAATTATACCTACATTCAGGAAATATTAAGTGTTTGTGAAACGTGAAACACTGCAAAAATGATTCCCAACATAAATATATGTATACAGCGCACATGACATATGAGCACATTAGTTTAAATAAGTAAGTACATGATTATATACTTATAGGTAATCATTTCATCATTCAGAATATATCAACAACTATAAATTGGCAAACAAAGAATGGTATTTGTAGAAAAAACATAGTGAAATAACATAACTAATTTTGTCCAATTCGCTAAGAAATAATAAGTTTTGTTTTACTTTATTTTTGAATGTAACCTATATTTCTGCAGTTTTTGATGTTGGCAGGTAGTTTATTGAATTCAGTGAAGGCTGAATGAGTGAATCTTTTTGAATCTCTTGTCTCAAAAATTCAAAAATGATATAATATACAGGGTGCTCCATTATAAAATTCAAATCCGGAGCCATTTCCGGTGAAACCAGAAGTGGCCGGGAAGTGGAAAAATATGCAAAAACTTTATATAAAATTTGTCTAATAGATTCGTTGACACCCGGTAAGTAGAATTATTTGATGCTATTTATATTAATAGCTGACCGGCAAACGTTGTTTTGCTATAAAAATTATTTGTAGAAAAAATTTCTTTAGATAAATATTGTTCAAAAAAAATTTTCAAACTACTATTTATTGCAATAGCTAATGCCCGGAAAACGTTGTTTTGCTATATACATTTATTTTTAGAAAATATTTTTCCACTTAAATATATTCATCAACAGAACGTGTGTTCGATTATAGTTCTTCCAACTACTATTTATTACAAAACTCTTTCGCCACATTGGATCCGTCATCTTGAATTTCCTAATTCTAAAGAATAAAATCATAATCACAAAACTCGTCCGTCATATTGGATCTTGCATATTTAATTTTCTTATTTTGATATAAGAATCATTATCTACGACTCCAGAAACCTTCAGATACCAATTCAAAATAGAATCTGATCATAATTGAAAAACTCGTCCGCCATATAACATTGAAATATAAAACAAACAAGTCAATTAGTTGTAGAAATTGTGAATTTTTGATTCCTTACATATATCATAAAATTTCAAATGATATCATGAAAACAAAGTCACTCCAATCCTATACGATAAGAATAAAAAACTGGATATTAGACTCCCCTAAAAATGATTTTATCTCTTTAATTAACATTCATAATATAATTAGAAACATCTAAATAATAATCGTGAATAAGTATATATAAATATAAATAATTATGCGAATTGAATGACATGCTCAGTACACTATATATGAATTATGATGTCTCATTTCCTAATGAGACAATTTTACCCTTGTGATAATTTGATATTGTTAAATATTTATTGACCTATGTACAATTGTTATTTTATCCTTACTACAAGGTTCACTTTGTAGGGGTTTTCCCAGTTTATTCAAAATACCTATCTGTGTGTTCCATTGTGAATTTTGTAAACGTGTTTTAATAAACTTATATTATTATATCAGATCCGCCATTTCGAATTCCCTAATTTTGACGAAGGAATCATAATCTCCGACCTCGAAAAAAACGGGTTACCAATTTTGATAGAATCTGACCATAATTACAAGTCGTCCGCCATATTGGATCCGCCATCTTGAATTTCAAAATTTCGATGAAAGAATCATAATCTCCGACCCCGAAAACCCCCAGATACCAATTTTGAATAGCCACTCACCTGATCGACTTGTCCCTGGACCCCGACGCCAAGAACGGCCCGGCGCGAGCGCCCTTCTTGTTGTCGACGCCGGCCGCCTCGTTGATGGCGGCGGCGGCGCAGTCGGGCGCCCAGACGACGCACTCGACCACGTGGTCGTGCGCGCGCAGCTCGGCGCGGCATTCCTTCGAAGCCGCGGCCCACACGCGCACCGTCTGATCGTTGGAGCAGCTGGCCAATAGGGTGCCGTCTGGGGAGGAGCGGACCATCCGCACCTGCGACGAGAAACGGAGGGAACGGTGTCAAAAAGAAGGTAGGAATAATGTTATCAAAATTGATTCAAGGATCAACGTATAGGCATACAAAAAGAGAGGAGACGTAATTGTTTACATCCAACATAGTCTTCCGCAGAATACGATGATGACCAAATTTCTGCGGATTGACCAAGATCTACCGCCTGTGTTTGAAAACGAGGGAAGCATTAATCATACATTAATTTCATAATATATATTTTTTATGTACAGTACAACTTCGATAGTTCGGACAGTCGCTAGCCCGGCCGCTCCAGTAATCCGGGCACTGCTGTTATGGGCATTCTGAAGATTTTACCTCTGTAATGCGGGCGCAAAAATATTCATATATATGTACATACATACAATATAACGGAATTCTTGTCTAAACAAGCAGAAACGTTTTTGTTCAATTTGAAAACAGTCTGCATTTGGTTTTTAAGCGCGCAGGACGTAATGGCATAAAGAAAAACATATATCAAAATAATTTCAAGGGACAGGTAGGAATATCAATATGAACATAATGTTCTACGAGTTTACTTTAGTTGATTTATTTTTATAGGCAAAAGGGTAGTTGTTAAGGAAAGCAGAGCATCCTGAACTTGAAGTCGCATTGTATAATGGGTTTCTACAACGCAACGCACATGGACCTATTTCATCAGAAATGGGCGTGTACACCTTAGTAGAACTTTCAACTCAAACCATGTTCATAATGATCCTTTTATACATAAATAACGATTGACGACATAATTCCATCTAAAAATTAACTGGAATGTTTTATTTTTGGACATAAATAATAGTACCTTCTGAAAACGGACCCTCTTTATGACGTAGAAACCTCATCTCGCCTGGAACCAATGAGCGTGACCCATAGAGTGATCCATGTGTGACACTCATCACTGTTGCCATATCATCTAAACAAAATATCCGAGAGATCGAAATCGATATTGAAATATCTTTTGATATCAACTACCACTACTTCAGAAAAATATATTCAACTTGTCGATGGTAGGTTGAATCATTAGAATATAAACAATCTCTAAACAACGAAATGTCTCAATCTCAAAACCATTTGCACCATGACAATTTCACAATAATCCAATATATTTCATGAACGCAGCAACATTGCTTTGTTGACCCTTTTCACATGGAGCTGCATTTGCATCGAGTCTCGAATTCCGATTCCGAAGTTAATTATGTCGTCTAAAATGAGAAGAGAAGACACGTAATGAAATTAACCTCCGAATCTTGCTTTATATCATATTAGTACATATTATTGATATATTGAAAATAAACATGAACGTTGAATCAGGATTTGTAAAAGGCTCATCAAATAATCTACCGAAAATTGGTTTGGAAATGGTTAATTATTTTCATGTCTCTAACATACTAGAAAATCTCCACAGTTCCTCAGTGCTGAAATGAGGAATAGAAAATCTGAAAGGTAAGTTCCACAATATTAATTCAATTTTCATTGCTTGTACCTATTATAGTTGCATTGGAAAATTGTTCACCTGAAAGGATATTTAACATCAGAATACCCATCATATGGAGATTCCGAGGGAGAATCCTCATTAAATCAGTCACTGATCGATATGTTTACCTATGCAACAATATGATCAATTGGTATGAAACAATGTTATTCCCAAGACTAGATACTGCTTGCATCTCCCTGAATGTTCTTCTAGGAGTTCTAGGAGATGGATCATTCATTCTTCAAGCAATATCCCTATGAATTTCTGCAAAGCAAAACTACTGCTATAATATTGTGTCTACCCAGTGAGGGGCGAGATTTGTTCTCAAAATTCCCAGCTAAATGATGTTTTTTTAATTGCTATTAGGCACAGAACATTTCTCAATCATACTTTTGTCGAAATATTTCAATTTAATATTCGAAAGTTGCAGAAACTTAATATATGTTAGAATTGATCTTCTTCTTGTTCTTATCATCTATGTCCCTAAAATCAACTTGCCGATTCACCAATCTTGGTGCTTTGTGACAAATAATGTATCATTCATCTCTGTCTGGAATGTCTTGTTTCAGTATTAGGGTTTTGACGTCACATCATCGCCTCGTTTCCAGAGGTCCGAAAAATCAGGGATTTCAATAATTTTTTATAAAACGTAGGGAGCTCACAGCAAGAAACGGTTTGCGGTGATGAGCTAGTTTGGGTGAGTTCTATCGAATTATGAAATAAAATTTTTTTGTGATATAAGCCCATTTTAAGAACAAAAGCTAAACAGTTTAATGAACAAATAACAGGGGAAACGGATTCTTTAGCAAGTTCTGGATGGCTAGATAAATTCAAGCTGAGGCACGGAATTCGTTTTTTGAAGGTCTGTGGCGAAAAACTTTCCAGTGATGTTGCCGCCGTAGAACCGTTTAATAGTTATTTATGCAACAAGTGCAAAAAGTGAATGTTTATTGCATTGAAATTGTCCGACGAGGCCGTTAGGCCGAGTTGGACAACACGTCGAGTGCAATAAACAATTTTTGCACGAGTTGCATACAACATTTTTTCTACGTTCATGCAAAAAGCAAAAAATGATTTATTGAGGTGCGGCACTAGGTACAATTCTGTTAACTGTCAGAATTAATTTTTGACTGACGTTTCTATAACCACAGTTGCATTATAGAAAATGTTTGTCATGATGACAGTACGTTGAAGTAGAATGACAGATGAGTGCAATAAAAACTTTATTGCACTAAGTGCAATAAAGAACTTCTTTTTCCACTAAATATAGTTCAATAAAGTACTGTTTTTTGCATGAATGTAGAAAAAGAAAATTTTGATGTTGTTGAAGAGATGGGATTAAGCAATGAACAAGTATACAATGCTGATGAGTCGCAATTTTTTGGAGAACTCTGCCAGATACAACTTGGGTTCATCAAGATGAAGAAAAGTACATACAACATTCAGCTGTTCAATTATAATAGTTATGTATCTAAGCTACATATTTTATAAGAGAATCTATTTTTTTATCAAGGATTTTATAATAATCTAATCTAATCACTGCAGCAATCCGGAGGTTCCTATAATCCAGAACGCTATCTGCCGGACTATCGAAGATAAACTGTATTATATTCTGTATGTTTGTTCCTATATTGAAATTTATTAAAATAATTTAGATTTTCCTAATTTCATCATCATGTAATAAAATTATAATGTATTATGGACATAACTGTGGCGACGCTGTATTGGCGTGTTTACTACGAGTGACGCATATTTTTCTTAGTCATTCACGTATGTCAAAAGCCGACGTTACAGTGTTGATGTGCTGTGTTTGTTACCATTTTAGGACTATTTGTGTTTCCATTGATTTTCAGTGTTTTCTTGTTACAAAACTATTAGACAGAAAATTCTATTTAGTCTAGTATGGTTAGCCAGTGCGTGGATTGTGAAAAAGTTCACCATTCAAACCCCAAATTTGTATTTCGACGGTAAGTAAAGTTCTGATTCTTTCAACTTCAACAGTGGTGTAGTTATCGCAAATTATTCAACGAAATAATTGGAAGAAAAGTTGTTTCTTTTGTTCAAATTCTATTGAATGATGGATCAAAATTAGGTATGTACCTAAGGTACTACAAATTTGTATTAAAATTAAAAGAAAAGTGTGTACATTGACGCACAGTTAACAGCGTTGCCATTTTTTCAAGCCATCTTTGTTTCACTTACTCTGGAAGTATGTATGATTGTAAACAAATCAAATAGTGTTTTATGAATGAAATCTCTCCTCGTTTTATACGTCTATGATTCAACGCCATTTACTCAATTTACTTCATTTGGTAATTTTGTGGTTGGAAATTATCATCACAATGTATTTAGTGGCGCCTATTCTCATGTAATTGAGGTTCTACTTATATTTTCATTCTAGCACTCATTCGAGAATATGAAATACCAATGAATTTTGTTTCATTCCAACTAAATTTGAGGATATACCTTGAATGTAACAATTATTGGTATGTCGTAAATAACAATCTACGGATAAACTTGCACATATTTCCTCATTTGGAAACTGGAATAATGACGTCAACCAATTCTTATTTTCTAGAAACATATCTATATTTTGGCATATTCAATGCGAATCATAAATATAACCTGGGCATATACGTTCCTGGTATCACACTGATAAAGACTAAAAGAAGAAATAGAGAAAAGAAATTCGAGAATTTTTTGTTTTTTTCCTAATGAAGTCCTTCAGTTATTTTTTTAACCGAAAATAATATTCCTACTATTCATAATTATTCCTTGGTAAAAACACTATTTGGCTATTATATTATGTAATATTTGAATAAAGTTATAAAATTGGTCTTTCAGGATTTATTCATTTATGGTATGATTGATCAAAATTTGTTTGTACTAATGTAGTTTACGTGATTGAGAATTATAAAGGGTAGATGAAAACAAAACGTCCATTGAAATTATTGAAAATAATTATTTTAATTTGACGTTGAGAGTACCATTGGGTGCACCAGTGCAGTTTTAATCAAAACTGATAGAGGTAGGAAGATAGGCAAAGCCTTTATCCAAGTAGAAAACATATTCTTGTCCTCGTCTGGCGAAACTATGATCGCTTCTAAATCGTTTCTGGCTATGTTTCACTGTCACTGTTTGTCGAGTGTCCTTACTCTAAATATTCGAAAATGTCAATTCAAAAATGTTAAGTACATTATGGAACTGTACTGCGCATCGACCGCGAGTTGTAATGGGGGCACTTGCCAAATTTTCTATAACCATGAACTTACTGCCTGTCTTGTTTAGGATCAATATTATACTGAGCATGAAAGTAAAGAATAAAACCAACAAGGTGAAATCTCTGGACAATTATAGAGTAATGGAGTTGAAGATAAAAGTACTGCTCTGAACAATCAAGAAAGGATCGAGAGGCTCACTAGAGTTAATAGGATTACAAAAAATGGTAGCAAACTTTCTGAAGAACTGAATTCTTTCACTGAGACCATCCTACATACCATTTTGCCTGATATATCTAAAATGTCAGTGCTACAAGACTTGTCATCATTCAAATCGTCACCAAACCAGACTGTCAACTCTCGAAAAAGTTTCAGGTTGTCTTTCAAGGAAAGTTCAAACAAAGGTTCTCCCATCATCGGAACCATGTCGAAAAAAGTGGACAGGATGATGAAAGAAAAAGCGGCATACGCGAATGGTCCATCAAACCGATCTACGAGAAAAATGAGGAATATAATATAATCTTGGTTGTTTCATCGATTTTCTTATATTTATATGGTTAAATGATTTGATATTTTTATTGAATATACTTGTTCCAACACTCACCCAATCCCTGTGGCCAGTGTAAGTCTTGACGCAATACCCCGTTGACACCTCCCACATTTTGATGGTCTTGTCGCGGCTGGAGGAGACGACGAAATCCCCGCCCGGCATGAAACAAACCCCCGACACGTTGTGGTCGTGCCCCAGCATCGTCCTCACGCACTCGTAGCTCTGCTGGAAGTCCCACAGCTTGACGCTCATGTCGGCGCTGCAGGACGCCAGCAGCTTGCCGGACGCGTCGAAAGCGATGTCCTGGAATTATATCAAGAATCGCTTGTTGAAGTTTGCCAACAAATAAAATACACACATCCACCGTAATAACCGTATACGAAGATTGATGACAATCCCCCATATTTGTTTACGTCTCGCAGCGCCCTTAAAGCTCGTAGAAATAGAGAACAAATATACAAAAACGTTCGTCCGACACGTTGTAGTCGTTGGCCAGAATCGTCCTTATGCAGTCGTAGCTCTGCTGGAAGTCCCACAGCTCGACGCTCATGTCGGCGCTGCAGGACGCTAACAACTTGACGGACGCGTCGAAAGCGATGTCCTGAATTAATATAAAGAATCGCTTTTTGAAGTTTGCAAACATTGTATTGAAAAACACACATTCGCCGTAATAACCGTATACGAACTAATGTACCTATGGAAAAGTTTAATGACAATCCCCCATATTTGTTTACGTCTCGCAGCGCCCTCAACGGTCGTTGAAATCGCGAATAAATATATGAAACCTTCCGCCTGACACGTTGTGGTCGTTGCCTAGAATCGTCCTTACACAGTCATAGCTCTGCTGGAAGTCCCACAGCTTGACGCTCATGTCGGCGCTGCAGGACGCTAAAAGCTTGACGGTCGCGTCGAAAGCGATGTCCTGGATTAATATGAAGAATCGCTTGTTGAAGTTTGCGAACAAATAAAATACACACATCCACCGTAATATTTTCCTAACATTTAAGAAGTGTAGGCCCATAAGCAGGAAATCCATCTCTATAAAGTGCAAGAAGCATTTCATGTAACAATTGAGGAAACAACGTTTTTAAGCTATTTCGACCTCGCTGAATACGAATCTGCCTGTTGCCAAAGCGAAATTTGGACGGAGAGTCTGGTATTCAAGATGGCGGTCAAGATAGCCTACAAACCACTGTTCCCCTATATCTTCATTTTCGTTTGGCTTTAAATATTGATTTAACGACAGCTTAGTGGTTTTCTCGGATGCTTATCATATTGAAATGCTCAGAAATTACTTATCCTAAGCCTGGAGTGCGTGGGTTCCGAAATGGCGACCAAGATGGTCGCCGAAACTTTGTTGTTTACGTGTTCTAGTATTTCGAGTGCAATATCTGTCAGATAGACAGTTTTCAGTGGTTAAATGTATACCTAATATGTCGACTATTGTATTTGTCACATATTATGGCTTGAGAACTCCATGATAGAGAGATCTGGAGGGCAGATTTGTGTATCCTCTAGTACTTGTGCCTCTCGATGGACCCACCCAGTCGAGATGTCTAATTATTAGGAAATGCACAAATCTGCCCTCCAGAATTGTCGTCATCTCGATACGTCACCAGGGCTCGGACTGACTGTGTCGACATAAGCAAGTGTGTTTTCTGCCAAAGCGATAAAAGCGAAGCACTGAGGCAGGTGATGTCAAAGCCAATGAATGAGACTATAATGGCGGACGAATTTTGTAATTATGGTCAGAGTCTATTCAAAATTGGTATCTGGAGGTTTTAGAGATCGGAGATATGAATCATTTGTCAGAATGGGGAAATTCAAAATGGCGGATCCAATATGGCGAACGAGTTTTTTTATCATGATCTGATTCTATGCAAAATTGGTATAGGGGGGTTTTCGGAGTCGGAGATAATGATTCTTTCATCAAAATTTGGAAATTCAAGACGGCAGATTTAATATGGCGGACGAGTTTTGTAACGATGATACGATTCCATTCCAAATTTGTTTCTTGGGGAATTTGGGATCGGAGATTATGATTCTTCATCAAAATTAGGAAATTAAAGATGGAGGATCCAATATGGCAACTGAGTTTGGTAATTATGATCCGATTCTATTCAAAATTTGTATCTGGGTGCTTTCGGGGTCGGAGAAGGATTAGAGTACAAAATAATAAAAGTATGTTGATAAATATTCAACTAAAAAAATATTTTCTAGAAATAATTGTATATAGCAAAACAACGTTTGCCGTGTATCAGCTATTGTAATAAATATCAGTTTGAAAAACTAATGAAACACTAGCCAAACTAAAAAGAAGAAAGTAGAAAATAAATAGTAGTTTGAAAAAATGAAGAGATATATAGTATACCGAACTAAAAAGAAGTAGAAAATAAATAGAGTAGTTTGAAAAACTAAAGAATCCCGCTATTATTTATTGACAAACTGAAAAGAAGTAGAAATTGAATAATGATAAATATTTATCTAAAAATTTTTTTATAGAATTAATGTTTATGACAAAACAACGTTTGCCAGGTCAGCTAGTTGTTACATGAAATGCTTCTTGCATTGTCAATTTTTGAAAACGTGCCTAGTCTAAATATGGACTTGCCCTGTTCTTGCACCAATACATAGTATACTAATTATACAGGGAATGATCAATATAAAATAGGAATGTGGCGTGTGTACAAAACCATTAAAAAATAACACTCTAGAACTCGAATCATTATTTTCGATTCTTCCCATACCTGTATTGAATCCGTGTGGCCCTTCATGGTACGCTCGTACTCGCCCGTCTCGAAGTCCCACACCTTAAGGGTGGCATCTTCGCTGGCCGACACCATTAGACTGAACACGGGATGAAAGATCACTCGGGTGACTGGCGCTCGGTGGCCTGGAACGAAAATTCATAACATAAGATCATCACTCGACGAATTTCAGTGTTTTGTTGTATTTTGTACACAGAACTCATAACCTTTATCTATACTAATATTATGAAGTGGAAAGATTTATTTGTTTGTTTGTATGTATGTATCGAATAGGCTCCGAAAGTACTGGATCGATTTGGCTGAAAATTGGTGGGGAGGTAGCTTAGAACCAGGAGACGGTTATAGGATTGTTTTTATCCTGTGACCATTAGGAAATTCAAGATGGTGGATCTAATATATCGGACGAAGAATGCACAACCAAAAAGTAGCCAAAAGTTTAGGAAACAGTTTCGTCAAAACTACTCGTGCGATTTGGACGATTTTTGTTTTGAATGACAGGTTATCTCCTTCTGAACAATGGTGTGCAAACTGTAATCGCATAGAAAACTTTTTTATGAATACCGGGTGTATTTGTATCCCGGTACCATTAGGAAATTCAAGATGGTGGATCTAATATATCGGACGAAGAATGCACAACCAAAAAGTAGCCAAAAGTTTAGGAAACAGTTTCGTCAAAACTACTCGTGCGATTTGGACGATTTTTGTTTTGAATGACAGGTTATCTCCTTCTGAACAATGGTGTGCAACCTGTAATTGCATGGAAAACTTTTTTATGAATACCGGGTGTATTTTTATCCCGGTACCATTAGGAAATTCAAGATGGTGGATCTAATATATAGGACGAATAATACACAACCAAAAAGTAGCCAAAAGTTTAGGGAACAGTTTCCTCAAAACTACTCGTGCGATTTGGACGATTTTTGTTTTGAATGACAGGTTATCTCCTTCTGAACAATGGTGTGCAAACTGTAATCGCATAGAAAACTTTTTTTATAAATACAAGGTGTAGCAATGTAAGCATGTTTTTTTCATGAAACTTGTGATACCCTGTGGAGTGTAACAGTTAAATTGAAAGTACGCAATATTCCTTTTTTGGATTCACTCCCATTATCTTTCCTATTTCTCCAGAAACATAATCTCATGATTTTATTGAATTCAATTGGCATTATAAGCACGAAAATAGCAGGATATGGTCTGGGAAGGCATTTATTTGACTGGTCGCATGGAACTTGTGATCATCAATGGGAGCCTTACAGCTGAAAGGTACATATTGGTGATTTTAGAACCCCATTTATAATGTAAGGATTTTTGTTGAAGCAAGGGTCGAGTTCCGATATTACTGAAATACTGGTCAGTCAGTGATAACGGAACGAGTTGTGTTTCAGTAAACTACTATTACTGTGGAATAACGGAACGAATATCTAGCAGTTGGTAGGGATATATCGTTATTTGGCGGGATGGTATGAGAATGGAAATAATACATTTATTTAACTCAAGTTTTATGTATGTATACCTACTATTTTAGTAAAAAATGTATGCTCTCGGTCTAGCTACTGCAGAATTTTTTGATTCTTGGTCTGATGACGCACGGCAGAGACTGATGATTCAAATTTGGGATGACCTGGACAATGGAAGATGAGATTAGGTCTCTCATTTTGGGTATAGGCCATCTTTGCTGAGAAGTTTTTCGTGTCCGCGGCGAAAATACCCGCTACTGAGTCTTTTGTTCAACTTGTGACTGCGCATTGTTTTTTCGTTATTTAATTTGGATATTAATTTTCGATAAAATCATGTTACGCTATGAAATGGTGTTTCTCGAGTAATAGGAAAGATACTAAAGCGAATCCAAAAAAGATGAAGCTAAAGTGTGATTTCAATTCTAACCCGATAGTGTAACTATTGTACCTCCTCGCGTACTAGGTCGCCTACTAGGTTGTGTAGAAGATAGAAATCTATAGGTATAAATAGAAATATGCTTATCATTCATTGGTATCATTGCACGATTATGTAATTTTTTCACTATTCAGGAAAGATAGCCGAATGCCAGAGTGAGACACACAATGATAAACTTTCAAACTTGTTTTGTAATGTATTATCTGCTTATACATTTGCAGAGCATGATGAATAGGAATCGAAATTCAAATCAATCAACATTTTTTCCCGAGAGTAATTGCGTTTTGTAATTTTTATTGAACTGTGTTTACTTCGAAATTTGGGATTGCCAAAACAAAACACAATGATAAGAATGAGTAAGAAAGTAAACAATGGAAGTAAATATCGTACAACAACAGGAATAGCAACACTGATTAAAAGTTAATTTCATGATTTTTGTTTGAATCTGCGATTAGAGGTCTATAAAAATAACAAGTTCCCATCGTTCAAGTTTGAACCCCTTGTTGAATGTCAACAAATGATTCTCAGATGTCAGTTCGTTACAGTTTTAGTTATATTACAGAGAGATGAAAATTGTGTATTTCTTGAAGAATGGTTGAAAAAATAACTGGACATAATAACAGATTACTGAGGAGGTGTTGATACCCGAAATGAGTTCATTCGAATGAAATCATATAATCTCTTTGTGAGAGATGTATGTATATCCCAGACATCATGTGGATATGAATGATTTTTGATAGTACAGTTCAATTTTCATTTCAATACTGAATATATTGGTAAGTTATATATTTTTTATATCATTATATATCATATTATTTATCCGATCTGAAAGATAATGCAAATTCTCAACTTCAGAAAGTAGTTGTTTTCTGTTGAATATACCGAGAAAGGATATTTATCATCATCACAGAGAGAATGCGAATTCTCAATGTATTTCTTTAAATGTATTAATTTTTTCATGTTCATAATATATCTGATTATATTCCTTTACAATAATTTCATGATATTACTTAAAAAATTCTAATCCACTCAAAATATCAATGAAGTTTTCCCAAAAATAACTCATAAATAACTTAATTCAAGGCTACTTCGATTTTTATTTTCATTATAGAATAGGTAAGCATAGATAAGTATAGGTAAGCATAGGTATTTCATCATGAAAACATATTTCAGTGTCGAGAATTCATTTATCAATCACAATAATATATGAACATAAAGGAGAAAACATGCTCAAAGTATAACAAAGAAAATAAAATAATCAACTTCCTATTATTTCAGAATTAGGTTATCTGCCTGAGTAGATGTCATGTGCATATTAAGTGTCTGAAAGTTAACAATATTGTGTTTACCAATTACTCCTATTTTCTACTGATTATTCAAACATAACCTATATGAATAAGAATAACCCAACACCTAACAAATAAGATGGAAAGAGAAGTAGAAGAAAAAATGATAGTTATGTTATAGTAAGACGAATAAAAAATTATTCGATGGTTTAAAAGTATGAGCCGATGTGTGATCATTTTATCAGAAGTTATCAAGTGATTCACTGCGGATAGTGGTACCCATGTAACACAATAATTGAAAGTGTTTAAAACACATTCGTGGTGACTCAAAGTCTGTATATACCATGAGTGTGCAATACGAAGAGTCATAACCATAGGATGGAGTAGGGTAGGTTAGGTTGCCGTATAAAAGATGAAAAGAAACAAAAATGATTTGAATACAAATAGTATACAACAAAACTGGTGTCGAAACTTAACGAGTGCAGGAATAGTATATTACATAACTATAGTGTGGAAAGTGACATATTTCGCGTGAGTGGACGTTTAGAACGAGCCGCATAGCAGCGAGTGCGGAAACGAAACGAGTGCAGGAAATGCACTTTTCAACAAGTTTGGCACACTATTTTCCCTACGACCACAAATATTTAAATCAAAGATATGCATCGTGATTGTTTATGAGACCTGAGTAGGTATTATGTTTCTAATCTTATTCGATCACATGAAGGTGAAATTATTATTATCATTATCGTTATTATCACGCCCGGTATGGTGAATTTTTGATTATTTTCACTTCAATTTCATCATATTATATGTAATACCACAAGTAATACTATTTTACCGTAGAGAAACCGACTACTTGAATTTTTTCCACGTGAAAATACTATTTTATTCGTAAAGGTGCCGAGAATTAGTGAGAGTACTGGATCTGTGAGCATATTCTATCGAGGTAATAAAATTATTTTTTCTCCAAATGACATTAAAAGTGGACTTTTAATGACACTCAACAGGCAGAAAAGGTGTACTTTTACTGCCTAGGCAGAAAAAGTTTGTTGCTATGCAACGTTCCAAGTAATTTGAATCAAATTGTAATCAAAATTGACGCAGCATTAAATCTTGTACTTTTCTGTCTAGTGAAAAAATAGTAGATTGTTTTATTAGGATCAAAAGTGACTCGGCTTCGCTAAACGCTCCGCCTCGCAAATGCAAAATTCGCTTGTCAAACAAAGTCACTTTTGATCCGAATGAAACATGCTATTTTTTCTGCAACGGAAACAATTAACTCAAATGAATATGGGAAGTAACCACCAATGCCGTGCCATATGTATGCAATGCAACAAATCAAAATCAATGCAAAAAATCCGTGTGGTGAGAATATTCTACATGCATTAACAACAGATTTATTCAATTTTCAAGGATGTTCGAATTGTAGTTTCAATAGAAATAAAACCACAGAGTGACATATTTGTGTATGGACCAGGTGCTCTAATGGCAAATACCGCGCCAGTGCCAGCTATAGGAACAAGACGTGGAAAATGTTAGGTTAGTGAGGATATCAACAATAATAATAGCGATTATTTATTCCTCTCCATACTACACTGTGTTTGACATGATGAACAAATAAAGGTGAACAATATCGTTGTTTGAGACAAAAAAAAAACTTGCTTGCCGAGATCATTCAAAAACAAGTTATCCATCCCGAGAAAAACGAATGAAATACATTCAAGCAATTATTTGAATCTTGAAGGCTTCCCTGATCAAAATAAAAATACCTAACTGAGATGTTTATAATTCCAAAACTTAACTATAATAGGGTGTATTTATATCTCCAGCATGGGTATGAAATGCCAAATCTGCCTAAATCTGAAACATATCAGGTATGCGTCTCAACCCAAATAACCAACCATAACAATGTTGTTTATTCTTGATGACGTCTAGTACATCCTTTTTAGTTCCTAGGAGCTAAAGTTGAACTTTAGCTCCTAGGAACTAAATATGTTGCCTAAAAACATACCTATTTTTGTGTCAGTAATAGGAACGTCAATTCAAAAGCTGATTTTGGTATCAAAATGTACGACTTTTGTATCGGTTGCAGAAAATACTTATTTTTCTACAAACGTCAAAAAATGACAAGGTTCGCGCATTGATAACAAATTGCGAAGTGACACTTTTTTTCAGTTTCCTACGTTACCATGATACCTTGCACATAACAATGCGCGAAGTAAAACAGTGCGCGAAGTACCTACTTCGCGCATTGTTATGTAAAATATATGAGATATTTTCAATCCAACTTAATGGTCCTCAATCGAGCAAACATCCACGAAATCATTTATTTCTGAATGTTCAACCATAACTTCGTATTATATCTTGGAGCGCACGAGAGGAAATTCCTATTATGTTCGTGGAACATCGTCCGTACCTAGGGAGGATAGGGAGAGGCTTTTTGAGCCAGTTCAACAATATTTTAATAAGTAGGTACTTCGCGCACTGTTTTACTTCGCGCATTGTTTTGCGCAAGGTATCATGGTAACGTAGGAATCTGAGAAAAAATTTCACTTCGAAATTTGTTATCAATGCGCAAACCTTGTCATTTTTTGACGTTTGCAGAAAAATAACTACACACACGGGCACAATTAGGGGAATGGGCAAAATTTACACTAAGTTTGACATCAATTTTCTTTCGAACCGATCGCTCGATTCAAATTTTTTTCTTCACGAAATGTAGCTTCATTCTTCACCAATACATCTGAGAAATAATTACCTTCAAACGATGAGTCTTTCCATCATATACATGGGTGTAAAGGAAGTACGGATTTTTCGGTATTTTTTTAGACATCCTGTGGACTGAACCAGAACCACTGATAATTGAAACGATTTCTCAACACCAAATTGGAGCCCAATATATTCCGAATATTTTCGTTTTTTATTCATCTTGATATCTCAATTATTCAAGAAAATACAGAGTTTCAACGGAAAGGTGGATATTGGTATCAATTTTACACCTCAAAACTCAAATTGGATCTGAAAATGTGTCGTTTCTTGACTAACCTAACCTAACCATGACTAAACCTCTGCCATAGGAGACAGAAGCAGTAAAATCAAATTGTTCATTTTGTTCACCTCGGCGATATAGTCTTTCCCTACCATCTATTGAATTGGTGCAGATGCGGCTCTCATATGTTAAAGGAACATTGGCCCACTGGTCATTTTCAATTAATGCTACAGCCCTCGCCACATCAGTAGGAGTCTAATCTCTCACGTTGAATTTTCATCAATCAAATTTATGAATTGTGAATCGCTTGACTTTGACAATAATTAATGACATTAACAAAATAGCCAACGTTGATTAACAAAAATTGCATTTCACCAAAAGAACATTGGAGCAACTTTTATCACCCCTGCATATTCATGAGAGTATTCGTATATGTGTATTTAAACATTAAACCTATAGGTAAAACTGTGAACAATTCTCATCTTGAAGTAAGAATCCTCACAGAAACAAGTTGAAAAACGACACGTTCTCCCCAGTTCGAGTTTCGAGGTGGTAAAATTAATACCAATATCCACCTCCTCTTTGAAACTCTATATTTTCTTGGATAATTGGGATATCAAGATGAATAAAAAACGAAAATATTCCGAATAGATTGGGCTCCAATCTGGTGTTGAAAAATCGTTTCAATTATCAGTGGTTCACTCCACAGGATGTCTTAAAGAATACCGAAAAATCCGTACTTTCTTTACACTCCTGTATATGATATAAAGAAGAATCGTTTGGAGGTGGTTATTTCTCAGATGTATTCGTGAAGAATGAAGCTGCAATTCGTGAAAAACAAATTTGAATCGAGTGATCGGTTCGAGAGAAAATTGATGTCAAACTTAGTGTAAATTTTACCCGTTCCCCTAATTGTGCCAGTGTGTGTATTATTCGCCGATCCCTGATGATGCTTACCAGTCAACGAGAACTTCTCGGGCGGCCTCGGTATCCACTCGGCGGGGCTGCGCTTGCCGCGAGTCGGCGCCCCCTCGATGTACTCCTTCTCCGCCTCGTTCAGCTTCGACTCCAGCTCCATCACCTTCTTCTGCAGCCGCACCACCGACGTCCACTTCTTCTCCAACAGCCCGCCGTACTTGCGCTCCACCTCGCCCACGGCCATGTCCGCCTCTTTTTTGAAGGCCTCCAGGGCAGAGGAGTAGCCGTTGGTGTTGAGGTAGTCGGCGATGGCTTTGTTACTGAAAAAAAAGAGATTTGTTAAAAAGTGATTTATTTTGATTACTTCTTCTGCACAAAAAAATATATGCATTATTTGAAGATGAACTTGGCGGCACCCAATCAAGGGGTTCAAACTTGAGCGATGGAAACTTTATTTTTTTTAACCTTTAATCGCAGCCGTATGGGGGCGGCTTAGAATATCCCCCCATGGTAAATCCTGCCTGTCGTCAAAAGCGACTAAAAGGATAACTTTAGGTGGTAGATGGTCTCATCGCCCGGTGAAATACCACCATATCGACTTAGTGTGCCGTGAAATGGACCACTCCATGTTTCAGTGTTCGGTCGATACTTTCCGGTCTCCCCCACCCATTTCCCTAATTTCTCCTCTCTATGAATGAAGATGATGAATTCTCCGAGAGTAAAACACTCCGGAAGTAAAATACCTCTCTATTCGGATTTCCGGGCGAGAGGTACTCGAGGGGACTCATCTCTGAAGATTAATTTCTGGAACATCCGCGGACCCAACAATGACGTCCACCACCATCTACAAACGGAAAAACCAGATATTCTGGCATTAACAGAAACTCAGGTGAACTCGTCCACCAACAAGGTCCACAGCGTGTAGAGAGTTTGGAACCGAAAGACTTTGATGTGATGTGGTTCAAGCTAGTCGATACCAAACTGACCAAATTCATCTGCTGCCTTTACCTATCGCCTAATGATAATGAATATAACAACCTCCTTGAGTTTTTATCACTCGAACTGGACTTCATTCAGGAGAACCATCCAACAGCTGAAATCATAATCATGGGAGACTTCAATGTACACAACGCAGCCTGGCTCAAATTCTCTAACAAAACAGATAATGGTCTAGAACAACTAGTCGAACTACCAACTCGCATTCCAGATGTCAACAACCAGTCTGCCAATACACTAGATCTTTTTCTCACCAGCAATCCTGATCCATATAGAATAGAAGTTTGTGCCCCACTTGGAAACTCTGACCACACCCTCATCTCCACAACCTGCTCTTTCCATGTACCATCCAGCACCACAATTTCTACCCGTCTCATGTGGCATCACAATTCGGCCGACTGGGAAGGTCTTCGTATTTTTTTTAGCGTTTCCATGGAAGAGAGTTTGTTTCTCCTCAGCAGATCCAACACGATGTGCTGAGACAATTTCTGGAATCATCATATTGGGGAGGCAAAGCTACATACCGAACACTGCAAGGAGAACATCTTCCGATAAGGCCTGGTTCAGTAGAAACTGCTCTAGAGCTGTCGCTTCCAAATCCAGGCCCTGAGACTAGAGCAGAATATGTCGAGGCTAGAGGCATATGCAATGAGACAATTCGATCATCAAAGGATGCTCATAATGCCAAAATAAGATCAAAACTTGTTGAATGTCCGAACGAAACCCGTTCATTTTGGTCCTTCCCCAAAGCTGTAGGAAGAAACTTCACTTCCAGCTCGTTTCCTCCTCTAACCAAGGAAGATGGAATACTAGCCACAAGTACCCAGGAGAAAGTGCATTTATTTGCTGGAAATTCCACTCTGGATTCATCTGAAAAAAACCTCCAAACATAACGCCAATTGACAGTCATATGCCCGAGATCACCTTTCGTCAACGTACTATAAGGAAGATTTTATTGGGTTTCAACACCAACAAAGCTTGTGGCTCCGACGGAATCCCACCGATTGTTCTCAAGAAATGTGCTCCCGAACTAACACCTGTTCTCTGCAAATTGTTCAACTACTCTTACAAATTGGGGATATCCCCGTCCAACTGGAACATTGCAAGAGTACAAACCGTTTCTAAATAAGGCAAAAAGACCCTACCTAGCAACTACAGACCGACCGCCCTAATATCAATTATTTCAAAGATCATGGAGAAAGCTATCGAGCTATCGAGCTCATGAAATACCTGGAACATTCAGGTATTATCAACGATAGGCAATATGGCTTCTGTCATTAGATAACAACTGGTGACCTGCTAGCTTACGTCTCACATATATGGCAGCAATCTATTGAAACCTTAGCCGTGGCACTTGATATCTCCAAGGTATTCGATCGAGTCTGGCACCACGGACTCCTCGCCAAGCTTCCATCTTATGGCTTGCCTCCCCAGCAACTTTTCTGATTCCAGTTGCTACTTTTCATTCCGTCTCACTACAAGGAATGACGTGGAATGACTGCTGACAGTTATCAAAAAATGAAATTAGAATAACCAAAAACGAAACTTTTCGAAAGTAGAATACATTCAGAAGACATTTTTATCGTGAGGTTCCAAGTAATACAGGCACCATATCTTCATTCCTAGATAAAATGAATTCTCTCGACCTCAGAGATCTTTCTCCAATCACCAAAATCAATGCATTTTCTATATCTTGATTCTTGATTCTCAACTCTGGTATCATGATGTTGATATTATTCTGAGCCCCAATATATAAATATATCCTGTATCATCTATTATGTCAATTCTCTATGAAGTTTCTCGTTTTATTTCATTTCATCAATGAACAAATAAAACGCAACTATCAAATATCCTCACGAAGATATCACAAAATGACAAATATTATCAGGTTTCAACACGTGAGACAAAAATTTATTAATACTCTGACAATGATTCCGCTGAGTTATCTTCACTATTCGAGATTACATTCATTTATCTGTGTTTAGCATTTAGGATTGTCGTCGTATCCTATTCAATGATTCATGAATGAATCCCGGTGTTCATCTATTATTATTTTGTATGAGATATCTACGATTTTTATCCGAAATGATCATATAAAGGATCAGGATCAGAGAAGGTATGATTGTGCGTTATCGATCTAAATGGAAACCTAGTTAGTAGTAGGCGAGTGGTATAATATTATCTGTTCCTCAGAGCATCTAGTTGAAAATAGTAATTTATATTTTCTGCAACCGACACAAAATCGTCCATGTTAATACCAAAATCAGCCCTGGAAGTGACGTTTCTATTACTGACACAAAAATAGGTATGTTGCTAGGCAACAGATTTAGTTCCTAGGAGATGAAGTAGTACTATTTGTATATCGGCGAAACTGAATTGGTGGATCTAAATATTAGACTGGCCCCTAATCACTTGGATATTAGATGTAGAATAGCTGGATTTTTCTTTATACTTTTCTCGTCGTTAATGGTCATAAAATATCAGAAAAAAAGGAAAAAATAATTTGGCACTAATGGGTTAAAGACGCAGAACAGAACATTATTATGAAGAAACAAGTTTCCAGATGAGAAATGTGATATTATGCAGTTATAGGATCTGCTATCAACTCGTCCAAATATAAGCATTATCAAATCCAATTATATTTTATTGACCAAGAAAAAGGAATCTTATTGACAAAGCCACATGAGAAAAATACAATAATAAATCTAAATCAAATAAAAAATGTATGAATAATGTTGAAGTTGAATCGTACATGGTACACGTCATTATTAAATCAAAAATACAGAAAAAAAACATATATTTTATATAAACCAACAAAAAAAATACAACACAAAAGGTGTAGATGAAACACTTCAACAACAAATAGTTGCCATGGGTGATAAGAATATGTCACATTTTCTTGCAAATGAATGTTCTTATCAATATTGTTAAGTATGTTATAATTTTTTATTTTCACGATTCCAATGATTAGCCTCAAATTAATAACAGCCTGTCTATTATGTCATATTATCATATTATATTATACTTCGAGCACCTTCGAGTGTCGATAAAGTTCATCGAAGAATAAAATATTGAACGAAGGATATTGTCATAATCCCGCGATAATTTATAATAAAGGGACGAAAGGTCTACCGGTGCTATTTGAAAATATTGACATTGAGAATGAATTATTGCGCCATACCAAAATGCACTTGAACTTTGTTGTTTGCATAGGAAGACCCGTTATATATACAAATTATTCTAGAATTAATTATCGTCGGTTAATTTCAAGGAAAAAGTTTATACAGAGAAGTGCACAAAAAACGGCCAGTGCTGTATCTTCGGAATCATTCAGAATCGGATTTCGAAAATTCGTGGGTAGCAATTATAACATATTGCTCATTTATGGACAAAACAATTTTTGTTATATAACTTCCGTTCCCACCGGAAACGACCCCAACTCTTGATTTTTAAATGGGAGACCCTGTACCTATTTTATTCCATGATCGGTTAGGGTTTTTATGAGGAATTCAACGATACCAAGTCTGATAGGGGCTATATTCCGAATTCAACTGGTCAGTACTGTCAGTG